CCTGTGATGTTTTAATTATGATCTGTCTTGGTGTGGTCCTCTTTTGGTCCTACTTGTTTGGGATTCTCTGCTTCCTGGACTTGTGTGTCTGTTTCCTTTGCCAAATTAGGGGAGTTTTGTTTCATTATTTTTTCAAGTAAGTTTTCAGTTTCTTGGTCTTTCTCTTTTCCTTCTGGCACTTTTTTGATTTGGATGTTGGTACATTTGGAGATGTCCCGGGTCGTCTTTATATTCTCCTTGTTTTGGTTTTTGTTGTTTTTTGTTATTGTTTTTCCTTAAGGCTGTTCTGGTTAAATGCTTATTTCTTCTTTACATTCCAAGTTGTTGATTTGAATCCCAGCTTCTTCCCCTCCACTGGTGGTTTCCTGTAGATTTTTATTTATTTCATTTAGTGTAATCTTTATTTCTTCCTTTATGTTGTTGCTGTACTCAGTGAGTCCTTTGAGCATCCTGATCACCTGTGTTTTGAACTCTGCATCTGATATGATGGTTATCTCCATTTCTTTTTGTTCTGTTCTTTCATTTGGACCATATTTCTTTGTCTCCTTAACTGTCAGCCTCCCTATGTTTGTTATGTGTACTAGGTAGAGCTGCTTTGATTCCCTGTCTTAGTACTGTGGCCTATTGTAGAAAAGGCACCTGTAAATTGTGTGGGATGGAGGCTTAGGTATAATAACTAAGGTGAGGCAACCTGCTTTACCACTTTGTGGCTGTTGGGGGGGTGAGGATCGGAGAGGGAGCAGTGCCGGTGACAGGCGCCCTTCTAGCCATCGTCCTTTTGGTGAATCCCAGAGTGGGTGGGTTTGTGTACATTCTAAGTCTGTGTGGGCCCTTTGGTCTGAGTCTCCTGAAAAATCCAGCAGTTTCTTCTGCCGCCCCAACCCCCACTGGTTTTTACAGCCAGAAATTATGGGGATTTATTTTCCTGGCACTGGAACCCTGGGCTGGATGGTCTGGTTTGGGGCTGAAATCACTTGTTCTCAAGGTATCCCTCCCAATTTTTATCCACCATGCATGAATGTGAGATGGTTCATTCCACTGCTGCTGCCAACTCTCCATGCTATTCCACCCCTCCTGCCTTTCTGAATGAATGTGTCTTCTTTAAATCCTTGGTTGTTGGACTTCCATACAGCTTGATTTTTTGACAGTTCTGGGTGTCATTTGATTTGAAATCTAGTTGTAATTGTTTCTGTGTTTGTATGAGGAGGCAAAACGTGTCTGCCCACATCTACATCTTGACCAGAAGTCCCCCAAAACAATCTTGAGAAACGGAACTGGAGGACTGGCACTTTCTGATTTCAAATCCTACTACAAAGCTACCATCATCAAAACAGTGTGGTATTGGCATAAAGAGAGGCAGAGATACAGACCAATGGAATAGAGAAGAGAGCCCAGAAATAAACCTCATGTATATGGTCAAATGATTTTTGGCAAGAATGTGAAGATTATTCAATGGTGGAAAGGACAGTCTTTTCAACAAATGGTGCTGGGAAAACTGGATATCCACATGCAAATGAGTGAAGTTGGGCCTTTACCTAACACTACATACAAATATTAACTCAGAGTAGATTGAAGACCTAATACGGTAAAACTCTTAGAAGAAATCATAGAACAAAATCTTCTCAGTGGATTTGGTTATAATTTCTTGGCTATGACACCAAAGGCACTGGTAACATAGGAAAATTGAATTTCATGAGAATGCTTTAAATTTTGTGCATTAAAGGACACTATTCCACAAAATAAAAAGGCAACCCACAGAATGGGAGAAATATTTGCAAATCACATATCTGGTAAGAGATTAATGTTCAGAATATATTTTCTATGTATTCCAACCTAACAGCAAAACAATTTAAAAATGGACAAAGGACTCGAACAGAAATGCCAATAAGCAAATGAAAAGATGCTTAAAAATCACCAGTCATTAGGGAAATGCAGATTAAAATTAAAATGGGTTATCATTTCATGTCCATTAAAATTGGTACTATCACAAAAATCAGAAAATAGGTATTGGGGAAAATGAGGAAAAATTGTAACACTTGCGCACTGTTGGTGGGAATGTAAAATTGTACAGCCACTGTGGAAAATTGTTCCTAAAATATTTGGTCATTCCTCAGAAAATTAAAAACAATTACCATATTATTCAGCAATTCCAACTCTAGGTGTATATTAAAAAGAATTGAAAGTAGGGTGTCAGTACCCTACCTGGTGTGGCTCAGTGGGTTGAGCGCTGGGCTGCAAACTAAAAGGTCACAGGTTTGACCCCCCAGTCAGGGCACATGTCTGAGTTGCAAGCCAGGTCCCCAGTTGGATATTTCTCTCCCTCTCTTTCTCCTAACTCTCCCATCCAAGTACTAACTAGGCCCGACCCTGCTTAGCTTCCGAGATCAGACGAGATCGGGCGCGTTCAGGGTGGTATGGCTGTAGACTCTTTCTCCTCTCTCTAAAAAATAAGTAAAATATTTTTTAAAGCCATTGGTATTTCCTTTAAAAAAAGAAAAAAGAGAGAGTATTGAAAATATATACACTCTACATATATTTATATATACATACACATACCTGTGTTCATAGCATTATTCACAAAGCTAAAACATGGAAGAAACTTAAGTATTTTATTGATGGATGAATGGATAAGCAAAATGTGGTATGTATACACTAATGGAATATTATTCAGCCTTTAAACGGAAGAAAATTCTGCAATATGCTAAAACATAGATGAATCTTGACGACATTATGCTAAGTGAAATAAGCCAGTCACACAGAGACAAATACTTGTCCGATGAACAAAATTCCAAACCTAAAGAAAGGTTTAAAGAGCCCTAGCTGATGTTGCTCAGTGGATTGAGTGCCAGCCTGTGAACTAAAGAGTTGCCAGTTCAATTCCCAGTCAGGGCACATTCTTGCATTGCAGGCCGGGTCCCCAATGGGGGGCACATGAGAGGCAACCACACATTGATGTTTCTCTTCCTTACTCCCTCCCTTCCCATCTCTAAGAAAATAAATAAAAATTAAAAAAATAAAAAAGGTTTGAAGTGTTTATTTGAGCAAAGATTTTTGGGCGAGTCCTGGAAGCAAAATCTCAAAGGATTGAGACATAACACTCCAAGAAGTAGAAGTTTTGCAGTTCATTTTGCACATAAGAACCAGAGACATGGGCAAGGTTACATGAAGTCCATTGCTGGCAGATTAAGGAGGGAGAAAGTAAAGCAAGCCAAGTCTCTAGGATTAGATGCGAAATAAAGTGGGGAGATACATAATTCTTATACATTGGTGGGTGCAGGGTAATTAACACTTAACATACATAGTTTGTAGAGGTGTGCAGATAAAAGATCATAATGAAGAATGTTGGGGTTGTCCCAATATACTGAGTGTTTACTATGGAGGTTTGGAGAAGAGATCATTTTGGTGTTTTAAGTATGTTATGGATAAAAATAATCAACAGGACTTGCTCAAGGTAGAGATGAATTTATCATACAGGCTTTTAAGACATGACTTCCCGTTAAAATCTGTTCAGGTTGGAAATTTTATATTATGAAAACATCCTGTGTGGTTACTTTCAGTTATTGATCTTGTCAGGCCTGCCAAGTAGCCCCATTTTTGTTCACATACTGTATGATTCCACTTATATGAGGTGATTAGCATAGTCAAAATCATAAAAACAGAAAGTATAATGGGGAAGGAAGAATGGGGAGTTTTTGCTTGAAATGTATAGAGTTTTACATAGGTAAAAATAATTATGGGGATGGGTAATGGTGCTGATTGCACAATATTTTTGGTATTTAATACCATTTAAACTGGACACTTAAAATGGTAAATTTTGTGTGATATGTATGTTAGCACAATTAGAAAAGGGAAAAAGTATAGCCTGTAAGTATAGTTGCAGATGTCAGTGTAAGCAAGTCAGGCCACTGACTGGGAAAACATTTGCAACCGTGAGTTGCAAAGGACCAGTTTCCAGTGATTCCATGTGTTTATATCCACCATAGAGAAACTCACATGTACACAAGGAGACCTCTGCATAAAAGCTCATTGCTTGGCTCTTTGTGTAAGCAAGAGAGCGGAGACAATCTCATTAACTCTTACTAGGGAGATGGGGAAATAAACTGGAGTTAACTTACAAAGTGGCATTCTAAAAGACAGTTTAAATGAGTGTACTGTTTCAAAATAATACTGAGGGTGAGTTTTTTTGTTTCTTTTTTTAAAGCATGATCTAAACAGATCTGGTCCACATGCATCTTAAATATGTAACCTTGCCGGTATTTGTTATATTTGTAATTTTCTATATCTTGAGGTGTTTTATAATTAACTTTCAAACAAAATAGGTAGTGATGTTCTCTGACTATAGATTGTTCAGTGCGCCGTTGTTGTGGGCAAGAGTGGCTACTGTGGATGGCAGGTAGGTCAGGTCCACCACAGTCGTTTCTCCTCAGTCCTACAAAGCCAGTAACTGCTCAGGTAAGTCGTTTTGCTGGGGAACACATGCATATGTGAGAACTGTGGATGTTCCTCCAGGAGGCTGAAACAACTGTCAGAGCAATGTAGATAGAGTCTGTGTTCTTGGGATGGAGACAGAACATCTGAAAAATTAAAGCATATTACCACTTGTGCTCTGTTCCTGCCTGTGACTCCACAATGCCTCTGACATTGCATCCTGTGTCACTGGCAACAGAAAATAGTGTGCCAAGGCATGGTCTCAAGTTTTAAAGAATTTTGCTTTCTAGCATCAGACTGTTACGTTGTCCAGCTATCTCAGGATTTGGTTCTCGTCTTGATTGCTTTTAGGTTGGTATACTATACAACTATACTTACTAGCCTTGAGTCTGTTCTCTTTTCCAGGGCAATATTTAAATGTTTATACCAGCCTTTTTTCCCCCTGCCAGGAGTAGCATTGACAGGGAGATTTATCTATGTGGAAGTGTAGTATCACAATTACAAGGTGAAACCCACTCTTGCCTTCTGCAACAGACTAGGAAAGTTCACATAGCATCCTTTTTTTCTTTTAGAACTCACAATACTTTATATGCACCAGAAATGCTAGCCAAAATGGTAGAGCCTTTCACAAAGGCTCTGGATATGCTTGAAGTGGAAAAATCTGCTATTTTAGGTAAGAAATCTAGCCTTTTTTTTTTTCCTTGAAGCTCACCTTACCTCTAATGGGCTCCTCAAGCAGCCTCAGTGTGCCTTGTGTCTCCTCTTTGTCACCTGGCACTATCTTGACCACCTGTCTGTTCAAACATGCATGTATGGAGTTCCCATGGCCTCCCTAGGAGCAAGTACATTCACTTCATCATCGTAGCACACAGAGAAGGTCTTCAAAGACAGTTTCTCCCCACTGCCACTCCTACCCCACATTAACTCCTCCAGGTAGTGCTGTTTGTTAGAGCTTCTAGGCTATAAAGAAACCTTGGTGTTTTTGACCTGAAGGATATTAGCATAATTTCCTGCCTTTGTATGGGGCTAAAAATTATTAAAACAATTAAGCTTAAATAGCTTTCAGCAGTAATATATATTATCAACAATTTTAAATAAATACTTTCTAAGCCCTGTTTTCTGTATCAAAATGTTGCTTTAACTCATTTTTCCCATGGGCAAATAACCATGCAGTCATAACTGTGACTTGTTCTGTGAATGAAAGTGACTGTGTCTTGGGGAGGAGTCAGAAGATTGTCCCCCCAGTGGAGACTTGAAGGATGAGTAGGAGCTAACCAGGTTTGGGGCAAGAGGAGATGCTGAGCATTCTGGCCAAACAGGTTTGGCAGGTATAAGATGTGAGGCATACAAGAAAGAGCTCCGTGTGTCCCGGGCATAGAGAGGAGGGACTCGTGTGGCTGTAAGAAAAGGGCAAGGCCGTGACAGTTACAAGTTAGAGCTAGTGACATCCAGACTTGTCTGAACTCTGTGCCCATCTCTGATGCTTCATGCGGGCTCTGAAACTTCACTTCTCCCACCATATCCCTTTGTTCACACCTGTAACCTCTGCCTAGGCCTGGCTGTGGTGAAGTAACCCAGTAAGTATGTTGATGAAAGGAAAGGTGGTCGTTTGCCTTTCCAGAGCTTAGGTCTGTCTTGGCCTACATAGTTCTGGGCCATTCACTCTGGCACCACTACACTTAAGGTCCATGTTGCAGAAACCAGTAAAAATAAAACTTCCAGAAAATGTCTTGCCATTATAAAAAGTAGCTGTTGCTTCACACAAACACACACCCACACACCCACATTCAATTATCATTCAGATTAAACCATGAAACTCTGGCTATAGAAATATACGGCCAGCCAAAGCATACTAGGATGGACAAACAGTTCCTCTGGCAGCTTCCTACCATGAAAAAGACTTGAAATATAAAATTCCCTGTGATTAAAAGTATAGATCTTTTAAGGCAATTATTATACTGAGATAAGTGAGTTTCATTTTGATCTGTTACACATCTTGGGCTTTGCATAAAATATTGCTTGAAAAAGAGGTTGTACAACTTAAAAAGGGAGGCCCCACTTTTTTATGGAGAGATCATTTTGAGTTCTCATTGTGTGTTTTGGTACAAGTCCCATCTGGGGAAACCCAAGCAAAAGTTGGAGTACCCAGGTCTAGTCTAAAGTCCTGAGTACTTAAATAGCTTTTACCTCTTCCTACCACCTCCAGCTCGTGGAAGACTTGGCCAGCTGCTTGGCATTGGTAACACTCCTCATCCCCTACCCCCAAACCACATCTGCCTGCAGTAGGGTGTTGGTAAGTTGAGACTCTTAGAAGCGGAGCAGCACATACCTGACGTTTCTTTCTCTGTAGGATTACCTCAGCCTCTCCTGGAACTGAATGACTCTCCTGTTTACAAAACAGTCCTAGAAAGAATGCAGCGTTTCTTCTCCACCCTCTACGAAAACTGGTAATGAACCGATGCAGCCTCTCCACATTCTCTTCCTAGGCATGTGTTGTATAGAAATAGGCATGGGTTGGACTTTTGGTGTAGAGAAATAGTAGGTAAGATGAGGCGAGAATTTGACAGGAAACTTATAATTCTAGTTCCAAATAAAAATGAAGTTTTCTTATATTTGTTATTTTATCATTGTCATATGTGCCTCAGTCCTATCCATGACTTGATATTTTATGCCCAACTTGTCTGTTCTGGTGCATAAAATGATGAGACCAAAGGAGAAGGTATAGTGGTGGGGATGTATTTTTCCCATACCCCTCACCCATCCAAGCCTGCTTTTTTATGGGACAATGGCCAGATTTTGTCTTCAGGTCCCATTTGGGGGGTGGGGCAGTGAGAGGCCTTCCTGTGCACTGCCACACCCAGGCCACTGGCCTCACTAACCCAGAGCCAGATCAGCCAAACTAACAAGATTCTCCATTGTAAGTCTGTGTTACTTATGAAGTAATAAAGGTTACTGCTGGTCTTGGGTACCATAATATACCAAAATTGGCCTCCGAGCAATGCTGAATCTGCTATCAAGAAGCTTCCTTAAGAGTGGGAAGCGAGGGGGTGTTACTTTCACTTCTGATAAAAGATTAAGTCCACATATTCGAAGTATACTGATTAGCTAAAGTTCTCTTAAGAAGTAAATGCAATTGCTTTTCTAATTTGTTGTAGACTAGAAGTTTCTGTGTCACCGTGGCACAGAGATTTCCTGGGGCAGTCAAAGCTGGCAGTAATAGATGTTGGATTTGTCATTGCCCATGATTTCCCTTACAGTTTCCATATCCTGGGGAAGGCAGGCCCCTCCATGCAGCAGGACTTTTACACTGTGGAGCATCTGGCTACCCAGCTTCTCAGCTCAGCCTTCGTCAATTTGAACAATATTCCCGACTATCGACTCAGACCCATGCTTCATATCCTTTCAGAAGTCCCTAGATAACCCAGAAGATCAAATACAGGAACAGTTCATAGGCACCAGAGGAGGCAGAGATGAGCTGCATGGAAGAGACCAAATCATATATCTAAAGTGTATAATAACCACATTAAAAGGACAAAAAGACTGAAGTAAATAGCAGGAGAAACAGGAAGGCAGTTCAGGGGGCTTTGAAAGCTCTTAGGAGCAACTCTTTACCATCCCAGTTTCAGCCCCTTTGTATACTTTGTCAGGTACTTTCCCCTTGAAGTTGCACTCTCATACTTCATTATCATTTGGATCCTTTTAAAAAAAATACCTTTCTTCCCTGAGTTATAAGGATGTCCTTTCTATTTTCCTCCCTGCTTTCAGATGACCCACTGCCCATTAACGTGCAGCCTGGTAGAAAGGACAGTGAAACTAAAAATATAATGGAAATGAGTATCCGTGCAGCTTAGGATTTTCAGAAAAGAACTTGAAGATTAACACAAGATGTTCTTGGCATCTCGCTAGTCCTTTGTGTGTTGACTCTGTCCAAAGGCCCAACCTGTCACCTGACAGATAAGGGGTGCTTTAGAATGAGAGGTGTGTGCGCTCATGTGCTAAAGTTTCTTAACCTGCTGTGGCATGGGTCTTTGTGAAGCCTCTGGTGCTCTTCTGTCCCCCAGAGCACTACGAAGCCCTGGTGTCTCCCATCCTCGGACCTCTTTTCACCTACCTCCACATGGTAAGGGATTGGTCAGGAACGGGTAACAAAGTGGACTTTCAGGATGCCTGGCCTCTCACGAGTCTTACAAATAAGGAGCTCCTGAAAGTGTCTCCTGGCCCTGCCAGGATGGCTGTGTAGCTGTCCCACCTTTGTTGCAGTGGGTTGAGCAGTCCGCCGAGAATTAAACTGCTTTAATTGTCCATGAAGCACCTGCAGCGTCAGCTTTTGCTCCTAACCTCCTGTTATCTAAGGAAAGGTGATCAGTGCTTCGCCTGCTTCTGTTTCACTGACTCTGGAATTAAGCAGAGTGACCGGCTGGGTGGAGAACAGATGTGTCCAGAGTGACCCAGGAATTCTAAAATTGTTCATCCTTTCCAAGCAAATTAAGTGTTCGATCTGCTGTCCTCATATGGGTATAGGGAGGGTACAGAAACTATGCCTGGTTTTTTAACCTTGTGGGCCTTCCAAGGCTGTCATTGATACCTACAATCATCCTTGGCTACTTCTAATCAAGAAGGAGGTATTATCTGTTCCAGTCTTCTCCCCAATACTAGTACTCACCTTCCTTTTTGTTTCCCCAGAGGCTTTCCCAAAAATGGCAGGTCATCAACCAGAGGAGCCTGCTGTGGTAAGGAGCATCTCTTTTCCTTGGTAGATGAGCTGGAGCCACGTTTGGGGTGGGAGAAGGTCAGGAGCAGGGAGGGTGTTTCTGCTATCCCAGAGCTAGAACAGCGATGGGTTGTAGTCATTCTCAGCCTAAAATGAACATGAGGCAGACCCAGATCAGACTCAGACTTCACAGGGGGCACCTTGAGCTACTTCAGGTGAATGCCGAGGCATTTTACCCACTTAGGATTTTGTCTCAGCGCCCTTTGCCAACTGGATATCATCACAAGCCATAATGTCCCTTAATGGATCCTTGCTGCCTATTCCCAACATTTGCATGGAATGCACACCAGAAGGGAGCCAGGAGAAGGAGCTGGGCACACAAGGTCTGGTTAGGGTCCCTGCTTTCCTTGTCCTTCCCTTTTATCACTCTTGTTGAACTTTGTCCCCTGGTGTTCTGCAGTGGAGAAGATGAGACTGCAGATGAAAACCCAGAGTCTCAAGAGATGCTAGAGGAACAGCTGGTGAGGATGTTAACCCGAGAAGTCATGGACCTAATCAGTAAGTGACATGTGGGAACTAGGGCTCGTAGAGAAGAATTTCTCTGAAGAAAGAACTGGTCAGCCATCCAACCCCAGTAAGGCATATTTGCAGCAATACTGACAGATCAATGAGAAAAAATTAACCAGGTAGAAACAAGGTGGTCTTTAAATCAACCTACAGTCATTTTATAAATGGCAAATGGAATTGCATTTGTTCATACTAAGGCTAAAATATAAGGAAATGGTCTAAAATAGAAGGAATTTGGATTAATGGTAAGAATAACTTCCTTGTTTTGTCAAAATAGGGAAAAAATTTAATTCTTGGACATGAAGGTGGTTAATTTCTCTTTTATTTTTTGGTCATTTCATTTGTTTGAGATGCAAAGTAGACCAAAGATTTATCAGATATCCTCTCCTGGCCACTTAGCCTCAGAGAATTCGCTAATTTTCCTCCAGTTAATTGAACTTGAAGAGGGACCAAAACACAGGCTGGTCAAATGCTTGTTTCTATTGGTGAAGCTGATGTTGTTCCTGGACAGTACCCCACCTTCCTCCCTCCTCACCTGCCCAGGGACAGTTTGGGATCTGTTGGCCTGAGGCAGCTGTTGTCTGGTGGTAGTAAACCCAGTAACCCTGCTTTCTTGCTTTAGCCGTGTGCTGTGTTTCAAAGAAAGGTGCTGATCATAATACTGCTCCCCCTGCAGATGGAGATGGTGAGTCTGTTGCGTGACTCTGGGAGGTCTGCCCTTACTTAGGCTCCTAAATATTGTCCTTTCTGTAGCCAGGTCAGTTCTTGTAGAAACTTTCTCTAGCAGTCTGATATGGATGAATTTGTACATCTAGCTTTCACCTCTGCTATCCCTTTTGCTCTAGTCCTTCACTATATTCCCACCTCAGAGCCTTTGCACTGGCTGTTTTGTCTGGATTTTTCTTCTCAGCCATATACATTGCCTGTTCCCTTGCTTTATTTGGGTCTCTGCCCAAGTATCACCTCTGATAGATCCTCAATGAACAGCTTAGCAAAAATAGCAAACCCAGCCCTTCTATATTCTCTTATGCTATATTTTTCTTCAGGGCACTTATTACTACCTGACATTACATTTTTGTTGTTTAATGACTTTTTTTATGATGTTACAATGTACTTATATATTCATTTATTACTTGTCTCTCCCTTACTGGAATGTCAGCTACCCCAGTAATTAAATTAGTGTGCACTGCAGTGGGTCCTCAAATATTTGTTCAACGACAAAGGATCCTCACCATTTGCAGCTTTTTAAGCAACTGTCCAGTAAACTCGTTTCCCAGTGTTCCCAAATGTACAGCTACATACATCTCTAGATCTACCATGGGCAGTGGCTTCCACACCCTTTCCATACTCAGCCAGCAGTCAGCCCAGCATGCTCAACTCTACTCTGTGGGCTTCTCTCACTGTTCTAAGAGGATGGAGTTTAACATTCTGCTCTCTGCTTACAGATGAAGAGATGATGGCCACAGAGGTAACCCCCTCGGCCATGACGGAGCTTACAGACCTGGGCAAATGCCTAATGAAGCACGAGGTGGGTGGAGGACACAGGTGATGTTTTTCTCCTTTCCCAGCTGTGGAGCCAGCTTCCACTATTCTCATTCTGCGATGTCTTCAAAAAAGTTTTAGGGGCAATACTTTACACGAATTAAGTTCCTGATTCCTAAAGCCTCAGAAAGCAGTGGGTAAAACTCAAGGCCATGGTGTCTCCTCTGCTGATACGGGCAAAGGCTCTCAGAAAAACTCAGCGGCACGCCAGTGCCACTTTCTCATGTGCGGCCTCTTCCAGGCCCAAGCTCCGTCTCCTTCCTACACATAGGTTTCCTCTTCTATATTAGTTGTTTTATCTTCTTTTGACTGCCTGATTTCATAGCAAGGAAATAAACTCACTTTTCTTTTATCATTTTCCTGCTTACCTAGTATTGAAACTGTAGCTCCTGATGCCTAAAAGTACACTCAGGGAAAGTTGGGCTTACTTTCCCATGGTAACCCCTTCATCCTTTTCCATTAGGATGTCTGTACGGCGCTGTTAATTACAGCCTTCAATTCCCTGGCCTGGAAGGATACTTTGTCCTGCCAGAGGACGACTACACAGCTCTGCTGGCCCCTCCTCAAACAAGTATGGTCATTTGCCCCTTCTTGAAAAGTTTGGGTCATAATCATTTGGAAGAATTGGGGTACTGGGGTCTTCAGAGTCCCACTTTGGCCCTGAGCACAGCTGTCTCCCCAGGTGTTGTCAGGGACGCTGCTCTCAGATGCTGTGACATGGCTTTTCAGCAGCGTGCTGAAGGGCTTGCAGACGCACGGGCAGCACGACGGCTGCATGGCTTCCCTGGTGCACCTGGCTTTCCAGATCTACGAGGCACTGGTGAGTGGGGGAGGACGGCCATGGCTTCACCCTTCTCAGCTGCTCCCACTCAGCAAGGCCTTCTCCTGAATGTAGGCAGCAGCCAAGTTGCCGCTGCTGCCTGAGGAGTGGGTGTGGCCCAGAATGGGGAAAGTGGCAGGGCCCAAACCTACCCCATCGAGCGGGTTTGTCCTCACTTCTCAGCGTCCCAGGTACCTGGAGATAAGAGCTGTTATGGAGCAGATCCCTGAAATACAGAAAGACTCTCTGGACCAGTTTGACTGCAAGCTTTTGAACCCCTCTCTGCAAAAAGCTGCTGATAAGCGCCGGAAGGACCAATTCAAACGCCTCATTGCTGGTTGCATTGGGGTAGGTCATGCACCTTCCTTTGTGCTCCCGACACCTTGTGGTCTTCTCAGACGATGGGCTCAGGCAAACTTCAGCTATAGCGATTGGCCGTTATGGTGAGATGATCTTCAAAACAACCCACTACTCAGGGTCCATCATTAGTTGTTTCTCATTTGTTTTCCACAGAAACCCTTGGGAGAGCAGTTCCGAAAAGAAGTTCACATTAAGAATCTTCCCTCACTTTTCAAAAAATCAAAGCCAGTATTGGAGACGGAGGTGCTGGACAATGAGGAGGGTGGCCTGGCCACCATCTTTGAACCCTGAATCAAGCTTTTGGGCGTCCTTTCTTGGCCTTTATTGTCATCTCTTCTCCTTCGTAGCTACTCTCTAGGCCCCTCTTCACTGCCACCCCACTCACGTCCATTGTCGGCCTGGAGAGATCCAGGTTTGGAGCTGGAGAGTGGGCCCTGTGCAGGGCCAGAAGTAATCATACTGAAGTATCAGGAAAGGGAGCCGGGGCTTACACCACGCTGTCTAGACCTCCCAGGGTCTCCCATGCTGCTTGGAGTTTTGGCTTTTCCAAGAGAGAAGAGCTAGAGCAGAGCAGCCCTTCTCCCCAAGCCCTGCCGCCCCCGTGCAGCCATACACCTGTGTAGAGTGGTAACTAGGGGTGCTGTACCCAGCACTTCAACTAGCCGGCCTTGTGGCAAGGGCTCAGCCCTGAAGTACTTGTGCCTAAGTGTTTCTCCTGGACCATTGCAAGTCCCACTGAGCCCCCATGCTGCTGGGCTGACAGGGAGCCTTTCCCATCCACCAGGGGCTTGTCTGGGTCAGGTGCCAAGTGCTGAACTGAATTTGGCCAGTTCCCTCTGTTTTAAACAAGAATCTGGTCTGCTGATGGGGTCCACGGAACAGGCTTTTGCTAAGCTCTGGACGCAGTATTAAGTATAGTACCTTCAGGGACTGGGGCTGAGTCAGCATCTGTAGTGTTAACATCCCCCTAAGAACCCACACGTGCCCTTCCACGAATGACCTCAGTGTGCTTTTCCCAGCCCCAGGGTCCACTCAGGCACAAGAGCCACAGTACCCTACCTAGTGTCAAGTGATATCATTGGCATCTAAGGATAATCCAGACCAACTAGGCTACATCTGTGACAAGCAGCTAGCAAAGCCACTGGTCTCTCCAAGGACTAGCTGAGTCCAGGTGCCTTCAAAAATCTCATGGTCTTTCAGGACCCTGGTCATTTCTGTCACGGACCATTTTCCAAAAGAAAATATGCCTTCCTATTTTGAGTTTCCAGCCCACTTTAGAGATCACTGGGTGGCCCTAGTAAGCATAAGAGAATAGATGCCAGACCCTAGCCTTGAGGTCCTTGCTCACCATACACAAGCTTAACCCATACAGAAACCATACGATATGTGTCCACGTGTTCTGCACAGAGGCCTGTCGATCCAGCTCACTGAGGAGGGTTTCAGTGAGGACTGAGTGGAACAGCATGGACAGAAGCTACAGCTTTTAGCTTGTGTTGGTCCCAGGCAAGAAGGCTTAGGAAGGGGTGAAGCTGGGGAAACAGAACTTGGTGTCCAGTATAGTTGTTTCTGTGGCAGAGACTTGTCCCACACCCTCTTCCTGAGTGGTGCTCTGGGCTTATCAACTGTGAAGGCCATCTCAAAGCATGGTTCCCTCCAAACGTGTTAGCTGCCTACTCCTCTCTGTAGTTGGGGCTGTGGAGGGCATAGTTGTATTTATTGTGTTGTACTATTTTTAACATCTTGTGACTTCATGCTAGAAGTTTTCTATTGTTTATAGAACCTTTTTGTAGAAACATAACTCTAAAGCACATCTGCATGTCAGTAAAAATCTCAATTTCATACAGAAAGAGCCCATCTGTCTTTTTCAAAGTAGTGACATACCTCATGTCCCTGAGTGGACAGGAAGAACTGATGGACCTGCTCTGTCAAGCATTCTGAAACAGTATACCAGCTAGAAAAAGATTTCTATCCTCAACACACGTAGACCAGGCAACCCATACCATTCTCCAGAGTTGTCTCTGGTGACCCCTGGATCTGACCCTGGGGACAGTCCAAAGGGATTGCTGTTCTTCATACAGTTCTTGGTAACAATGTAAATTGACTGCTAGGGACCACTCTTTTTTTGATCAGCAACTTCTTCCAGTATCAAAGAGACAGCTTAACTGGCACAGTGTTTTTGTACAGTCTGACTGTGGCCACCTCGATTTGGCATTTCTCACAAAGCCTCAGAGGGACTTGGTCCAGACCTGCAACGACATCTGAGCCCAATGTTCCTGTCAGTGCCAAACCTGTTTTGAGATTATGGCCCAGTATCTGTGGACTGAAACAGAAAGAGTAGTCTCAGACTAAACAATTTGTGTTTGGGTATGAATTTATTTACATGAAAGCCTTATAAAGGCATAGTCACATTTTGCGACACATTTAACAAAATGGATTGACTGAAATAAAGCTAAAATTGTCCCAGAAACTCGGGACACCTGATCATACTGGGCTCTCTCTAGGAATCTGGTGGCAACAGGTCAGAATCTTCAGCTTGCATCAGGAACATCCAAGCCCCGCCAAGAAGCCTCAGTCCATCTGAACTGCATCTAGTTCATCCAAGAACCGCCGGCACTTTCCCATCAGTACTTTGATGGCTTCACTCACCAGCACATCTGGTGGCAGTACTCCTGTCGACTCAACAGAGACTGGGAAGCAAAGAGACATTTTAGCCCAGACACGGCTTGCAAAAGCTCCTGTGTAAGTTACCGCTATATTTCACATCTGGACTCTACCAAAAGTGGTAGTATCAAAGAACTAACCCTTGCAAACTGCATACTCACAGATATAATGGTCCCGAACCCGAGCAAGCCGTACAACCTTCTTTAACTTCTCATTTCGGAAGACTTCCCTGCTGAAGGTATCTAGCCGGGGATTGGCAACTCTGGCCACCTTTTTACCTAATTAAAACAAACCATGTTATAAACATGCATTTGAGCTTTCTCTCTGCCACTTTCAAAAATATATATACATTAGGTCCTGACCCCAAAAGCATCCCAAATACCATACCTTGGACTTCATGTACCTCAATAACGCCAGGTGAAAAGCACTGACTCAGCTCCTCAGCTGCCTCCCCTTCCACGGGCTCCAACAAAGTGATGTCTGGCAGAAGCCTGTAACTGGCTGTTGCCACAGGTGAAAACTTGGCATGATCTTTGCCTAGAGGGAAATCAGAACCTGTGGGAGAACCCTTCTTGATATTCACAAAGGCCCACTGACTTTCTGCCTGTCTGACATTTTGGTGGGTCCCTTAGTTGCACTTCATCCAACCGTATTCAAACTACCTTAACCCCCCCACCACAGCCCACAGGATTCTCACCAATGCCCTTGACACAGTGCATGAGTAGGTCAATCTCCTGGCCAGGCCGCAGCTGAGCAATGAGGATGTCATCGTGCACTGGTCGGATGGTGCCCTCCGGGAAAAGGTCAGCTTGGTTCCCCAAGGGGACCCATGTCATGTGTCTGGTGTACACTGGAGGAAGAAGCACATTGAAAGACCTCAGTCCCTAAAACTAGCACCCACCAAAGGGTGCTAGAGAGCCCAAAGGTGGACTCTCTTACACTACCAATACTTACCTTTGTGGTTCACATAGAGTTCATTGGGATCAGAGGAATCTTTAGCTGCATGGGGGTTGCGAGTGCACCTGACTTGCAGCCGAAACTGCAGAGTATCAATTTCTGTGCCTTCTTCATCTCCTACACAAAGACAGAAGCTCTTAGAGGACTAGTCATCTGAATGCCAGACATCAACCATACTGAGTGCATTACACTTCTGATTTAATCTTCTCGACAAACTGAAGTAGGGGACAAACAAAGAGGGCAAGGACAAGTGTTCTCCCAGGTAAGAACACTAGTGTATGAAAAAAGGAGTAACTTGCCAAGGTCACAGAGTAAAGTCAATCCAGGATTTGAAAATAGGCAGTCTGATTCCAGAATCAACTCTGCAAAAAAGAGCTGCTCTCCTTTCCCCAAAATTTCGCTTTCTCAAACCCTCACCTTGGTTCCGGTATTCAAAAAGACGAGGATCTGCATGAATGGGAATGAGCCCCAAGCGATGAGCAAGGATCTCATCCTGGACAATGGATGTGTTGTTGTACACCAGGACCTTTTCCACAGCCATGGTTGGCACCTGCCCAACAAAACAATCCCTCACCTACCAAGACCCCATAGATTTCCCATCTACTCCCTACCTGCTGACACAGGTAGGGAGAGATCTCTTCCTAGAAGAATGTTTGTGTTTGACTAAAAGTTTACAAATGAGCAGGAGAAATGCTCAGCAAAATTTCAGGAAAAATAAACCTTGAGAATTCTGCAAGTGAGGTAACAGCAAGGTGTCCCATGCAACTTCACCCCTGCCACCAAGCCAACCAATACCTCAGCTAATAGAATACGTCGAAAAGCATTGGCAATGGCTGCATCGATTCCCACCATGTCAAACTCCAATGTGTTTTCATCCATGTGTATCACATCCACACGGAAGTTCTAAAAAGACAGAAAAACACGAAATTGTATAGTCAATACCCCCTGCCCCAGATATTTCCCTTAAAGTATTAACATTCTCTCTCACCCCAAAACCTCCCTTTGCCTAGATGTCCCTCATTAGATGTTCATTTCACCCCAACCTTTTATTTTTTTTTTTGCAATCCCCCCCCCACTTTATTTGGTCAAATTAAATATCTTTTAAGAGTGAGGATTTTTTTCTGCATATTTTTTAATTAAATTTACTGAGGTGACAATAGTTAATAAGATTATATAGATTTCAAGTATGCTTTCTACATGTGACCTGTACATTGCATTGTGTGCCCACCACCTAGTCAAATTGTCTTCCATCACCATCCATTTTACCCCCTTTAACATCCCCTTACCCCCCTTTCCTCTGGTAACCACCATACCGTTGTCTGAGTTTTTGTTTGTTCGTCTGTTGCTTTCAGTTTCCTATCCCACATGAATGAATGAAATACGGTTCTTAACTGGTTCTGACTTATTTTGCCTAGCATGATATTCTCAAGATCAATCCACATGATCACGTATAGCAGTATTTCATCTTTTCTTATGGTTACATAGTATTCCACTGTAGGTATGTACCACATCATCTTTATTCAATCACCTAGCAAAGGACACTGCTGTCGTTTCCATGCCTCTGCATTATGGCTTCTAGCCAGAACATCCAGAAGCTACTCTACTAGAGAACATGCTTCCATTCTGCTTAGTCTGGTTGACACTACTCAATCCTTACCTTGCTAGACTATTCTGTTGCACAACATTTGGTTGTGCACATTTATAATGTGTACAACCACATTATACTATAATCATTTGTTTACAGGTGCTCTTTTCCAACAAGACTGAACGAACATCTGTTCGCAGAACAAGGTGGAAACCGATCCCTGATGACAGCTTCTGAAGCACAGGCTGCACAAATCACATGGTCCAATCCTCATTGTTAAGATCCCTCATTTTCAAACTCTAGTGCCTTATTTCTGAGCACCAATCTCCTGGTTTTTTCTTCTCCGATGAATCTTTCTAAACTCACTATGTTCTACCTACTCCACAAATACTATTTCCCAAGTTTTCCCTCCAGAGTGACCTCAACTACACTCATGGTTTTATCAACTATCTGCACCAACAACTCCCAAAATTATTACTTCTGATCTCAATTCCAACATATATGCACTAGCCTAATAGACTTCTCCATCTGCAGGGCACTGAATGCATCATCATTTTCCAAACCAATTTCTCAATAAATGACGCCATTATGTCTTGATCCCCAAGCTAAGTCGCTTTACAGTACTCTGTCACAACCCCTATCAAAGCAATCACCAAACTTACCTTGTTTCTCCCTTTTGCTCTATCACCTAGAGTCCCTAAAACATATTTCAGTCCTGCCTACCATTCATGCCCACCCGCTTTATGTTCTGGCAATAACGAACTGTTTGGACACTCCCACAACAGATCACACAAGCCTTTGTGATTTAGCTTCTGTTCCTAGTCCCTTCTCACCTGTTCTCAACTTCTGTTCATCGTTCTAGGCTCAATTAGGGTGTTTTCTCTTTCAGAAACTCTTCCATACGTTTGCCCTCCTTCCCATTCTAGATTAAGAGCCTCTGCGGGATGGGGTAACCCCCCACCGCAGCCCATCCCGCGTCATCCTTACTGCTACCAACTGCCTTTACCACATTATACTATAATCGTTTGTTTACATGCGCTCTTTTCCAACGAGACTGAACGAACATCTGTTCGCAGAAAAAGGTGGAAACCGATCCCCGAAGACAGCTTTTGAAGCACAGGCTGCTCAAATCACATGGTCCGATCCTCATAACCCTCTCCGGACACCTCCAGCTCCACCCACCTTCTCGAAGCGGTCCTGGTCCCAAGCATCATCATAGCCCGAATAGTTACCGGGAAAATCGGTGGTATGAACCTAAAGCAAAGAGAGACGAGGCTGTCTGCGAAGGGGCACCGAAGCCAAGCCCATCCCTACTCCGAACTCAAATCATCCCTGTCCCTCTTTCACTTCTCCTCCCGACGTCAAGGCCGCAAGCTTACGTTGCGAACCCCGAACTCCCCTAGAACCACGCGGCTACGCATTTCTTCCACCGCAGGAGTCGCTGCCATCTTCCACCTTTCCACGTGACTACAGTAGCAACGGGCGCATGCGTTCTAATGGACCCCTTTCGTCTCCGTGGCAACGCGTCACCGCCTAGAAGGCTAAATATCGCGAGACTCTGTCCAGTCAACGTCCACGTCCCCAGCTTCCGGAAGTTAGTTTTGTCCAAACATCCGGGTTCCTCGTTTTTCTGCGTTCTGGCTGATCCCACCTCTCTCTGCCCCTATACCTCTTCTATAAGGCCCAGATCTCTCCCACTCCTCCGCGTGCGGGAGTAGCGCGACCTTCAACGACGGGAGCCCTCGAGGGACATGGCGTCTACGGCCGCGCCGGCCGGCGGCTCTCGAAATGGGGCTGGCCCGGAATGGGGAGGGTTCGAAGAAAACATCCAGGTAATGGCCTCAAGGCTCTGGCAGCCCCAGCCCTGGGGCTGGCTGTCGTCCTGAAGCGTTTTGCGGACTTTCCTCCGGGGCCTGGAAGTCTGCTCCATTTGCAGCACTTCACCTATCCTTTGGCTCTTCGTGCACATGAAAGTCAGTGGGGCCAGAACTCACCTGAAAGGGTCGGGCTTGCACTCCAGACAGAAGACCTCTGGTCTGTGGGTGCAGCTCTTTTTTTCGGGACAGTTTAGGAGGTCGGTCGGGGTTAGGCATGGCGGGGGCTGAGAGGGTGTCTGCACTGGCCAAAACCACACTGTGTGCACAGTCTCGTTTGGGTTGGGAAAGACAAAGGAAGTAAGCAATTTTATAGCCCTTTGATAGGGAAGGTAGGAGAAAGACATGTGTGGAAGACAGGGAGTAGGTTTCCTAGGCTAGAAAAGAAACAACCAACCAAGGTTTGGAGAGCGAATGAGGAGAAGGAGTGGCTATATGGTCATTCCAAGCCATATACCTGGCAGTGGAAGAATAAAGCCCCAGGCTTAGGAATGAACAGAGAAGGGCTTACAGGCTGGAGCAGGAAGGTCCTGAACACTAAAAGCTTATTGTTTTCACAGGGTGGGGGCTCAGCTGTGATTGACATGGAGAACATGGATGATACTTCAGGGTCTAGCTTCGAGGATATGGGTGAGCTGCATCAGCGACTGCGCGAGGAAGAAGTAGATGCTGATGCAGCCGCTGCTGAAGATGAGGATGGGGAATTCCTGGGTATGAAGGGCTTTAAGGGCCAGCTGAGCCGGCAAGTGGCTGATCAGGTAAGCAAAACTGGATGTCTGGCAAATACAAAAGTATACTTGGGAGGCCCCAGGTTCTGGAATTGATGTTAGTGAAGCCTTGGTTGTCCAGTCAGAACCATGTAGAAATCCAACAGAAAATAAGCAACAGAGCAGCCCTGGCTTGTGTGGCTCAGTGGGTTGAGTGCTGGCCAGTTCTATTCCCAGTCAGGGTACATGCCTGGATTGCAGGCCAGGTCCCCAGTGGGGGGCATACAAGAAGTGACCATATGTTGATGTTTCTCTTTCTCCCTCCCTACTTCTCTTTCTAGAAATAAAATCTTTTAAAAAATAGGCAACAGATCTTAGAGCTGTTGGTGTTTTACAATACCCACCTACCCCATCCTTGTTTTCCTAATTTCAGATGTGGCAGGCAGGGAAGAGACAAGCTTCTAGGGCTTTCAGCTTGTATGCCAACATTGACATCCTGAGACCCTACTTTGATGTGGAGCCCGCCCAGGTGCGAAGCAGGTGAGGACCCTTCTGACAGAAGCTGCCCTCCTCACACATAGCCCTTCATCCAAAATGCAGCCAGAGGCCAGGCCCTTAAACGCTCCTCTTCTTGACGTCATCAGTTGTCATTATGTCTGTACTCTAGGTACACCCATTCCTCTTACCAGTCTAGAACAGGACATGGTGATAACACATCACCTTCCTCTTTTCCATGTAGTAAATTACTTATCTTTCCTCAAAACGTAGCTCAGACGTCATTTCCTTTGTTCCCCATTCCTCGACCCGATCCCCAGTTCGTCATTTCTGGGCGCTCCCACAGAGCTCTGCGTTTCCCTCTAACAGATAACACTTCAGTCATGCTGTACTCTCTCAGTCTTGATTCTGTCTCCCTAGAGATCTCTTCAAAAGTAGGCTCTGTGATTTGTTTATCTTTTTATTCCCAGCACCAGAACAGTCTCTGAACCAGAATGTCGGCACATAATTATTGAATGAATTCTCAAGAACCGGAATTAATCTTGGTTTGGTTCTTTGTTTAAGCTTTTACTCTGCATTAGGCAATTTACTGGTTGTATCTGAGTTAGTGGTGAAGACAGACAGGAGCCTTGCCCTCAAGTGCAGTTAGAGAGTACAGCACTCACTTGCTATAAAGGAACATGGGGGCAGGGGACACCTGACCCAGAGTAGGCCGGAGGTTGGGACAGGGTGGGTTTCCCAGAGAGGGTAAGATCTAGCCAAATTCCAAGGTATTATTAGGAGCTAGCCGCTTAAGAAGAGAATGGGGACTTGCACTTCTATTTCTCCTCCCTGGAATTTTCATACCACTTCAAATATATTTCAAGAAAATCCTCAGCAGTGCATGGAGGAATGGGAAGCAGGAAGAGGCAGGAGGCACACTGGTTCCCTCAGGTACCACCTTCCCTTTGAAACCTTTCCCAGGGCTTCACCATTGCAGTTCAGCATTCTGGACATTCTCTGCTGAGGTTTGCCTTTTATCGGGGGGCAGTTCAAATAGGTAAATAGTCATACCCTCTCCAGAGACCCAGCTGGGCTCCCTGAGTTTCCCATATTGCGGTTGCGTCAGTCGGCACAGCACCTGAGGGAAATATTGTTAGAGGCAAGGAAGTGATTTCCTCCTTCTTTGTCTGTCTTTACTACATTCTTCTCCCTTTACCATCTAGCATGTTCTCTGGAATTAGATGATTAAAATTCAGGCCCTGCAGAACCTCTTAAGTGCTGCCTCTGCGCTCATCTCTCCTCTCCTCTCCTCTCTCAGGCTCCTGGAGTCCATGATCCCTGTCAAGATGGTCAACTTTCCCCAGGTGAGTGGGGAAAGCACAAGGGAAGAGGGTGGGGTCGCCAGGCAAAGCCTGGGAAGGAGGAAACAGAAGCACCATTGTCCCCTCCAGCCTGAATGACTTGGTATCTTGACAGAAAATTGCAGGTGAGCTCTATGGGCCTCTCATGCTGGTCTTCACGTTGGTCGCCATTCTCCTCCACGGGATGAAGACATCTGACACCATTATCGTAAGCCAGACAGGGGACTTTGGGGGGTGGCCAAACTGAGTAGAAAGCTGCCTGAGGAAGAGCTGGGGGAGTAAGTGAGAAGCAAGAAGCAGTCCTGAGGATAGCCCTGGGTGAGGCTGGGGTCAGAGGCCTCCCAGGACTAAGTAGAGCCTTTACCCTGCAGCGGGAGGGCACCTTGATGGGCACAGCCATTGGCACCTGCTTTGGCTACTGGCTGGGCGTCTCATCCTTCATTTACTTCCTCGCCTACCTGTGCAATGCCCAGATCACCATGCTCCAGATGCTGGCACTGCTGGTAAGGACTCCAGCATGGTGGCGGGCAAGGGTAATCTTAACAGTAGACCATTTATTTCTCAGAGTTCTCATGAGGGTCTAGAGGCCAGCCCAACCTGAGAGATTTTCTTTCCATCTTCCTCCTCCTAGGGCTATGGCCTCTTTGGGCACTGCATTGTCCTGTTCATCACCTACAACATCCACCTCCATGCCCTCTTCTACCTATTCTGGCTGCTGGTAGGGGGGCTGTCCACCCTGCGCATGGTAAGCTGGGCAGATTTCCAGGAGCTGGCTGTCCTCCTGGGGAGTTGGGGAAAGCAGCCCAGAGCTCAGGCGGAAGTTCACAGAGGGCTCTGAGGAAGCATGGGGGGGCGGGGGCGGTAAGAGCCCGAAGACGGTTCTGCTCACTATGGAGCCATGCCCTCTGAGCTGTATTCCTGTGGCCCTAGGTGGCCGTGTTGGTGTCACGGACTGTGGGCCCCACACAGCGGCTGCTGCTCTGTGGCACCCTAGCCACCCTGCACATGCTCTTCCTGCTCTATCTGCATTTTGCCTACCACAAGGTGGTGGAGGGTAAGTGACAGGAGGCCTGGTGCGGGAAAGGGGAGAACGGCGCCTGGGGCGAGGGCCACCCAGCTCCTGCTCACTTTCCGTCCTCCTTCCAGGGATCCTGGACACACTGGAGGGCCCCAACATCCCACCCATGCAGAGGGTCCCCAGAGATGTCCCTGCTGCACTCCCTGCTGCACTCCCTGCTGCTAGGCTTCCAGCCACCTTGCTCAACGTCACAGCCAAGGCTGTTGTGGTCACCCTGCAGTCACACTGACCCCACCTGAAACCCTTGGCCAGCCCCCTTTAACCCAGCTGCAGAGTGAAGGAAGACTAAAGGACAGAACTGATGACATATGTCTCTGTTGGGGTCTGCAGCTGCTACAGAACTGTAGCCACTGAAGCACCTCCTTTGTCACCTGTCGGGCTTCTGAAGGGCACAAGGCCGAGAACCCCTGGCCGGGACTGCAGGGCTCTGCAGCTAGTGCACAACGTGGGTCGGGGCCTCTGAGGCCCTCTTACCACCTACCCCTTCCTTCCTCTTTGTTTCTCCCACGTTGTCTTGCTAAATATAGACTTGGTAATTAAAATACTGAAGTTTGGAACTGCAGCTGCCCTCCAGTGGTCCTCCCTGCCGTTCTACTTCTGTACACCTTCCTGTTCCTCTGTCCGAGGTGGAGGTGCAGCATGTTTTCTTATTTATACCCTCAGGATGTAAGATGGGACAGGCAGGGTGAAGGGGACAGCCCCGGCTACACTGAAGGCAGTGATGGAATATGGAACCCGTCCCTGAGTGCAAGGGACATCTGACCCACAGCAGCATGGGGACTGTAAGTTCAGTGAAGTAGAGTATCCAGCTTGAGTCTGGACTCAGCTGCACTCTTGGGACACCGGTGAAGCAATGACAATTGGACAAAAACTTCCCATGTCCCCCATATCCGTCCAAGACCCAAACAGACCTGGCTTGGCCTGGGTTGTAGTGGGGCCGAGGAACAAAGCTCTCTTCAGTTCTGCCCTTCCTCTTGAAAAAGTGCTGGTTACTCTTAAAAGCCTGCCACCATCCATTTAATCTGCTCTCTGCTAGTTCCCAGGGAATGTAATTTTTGACCTCTCTTCACTACACTTACATTACTCATTAAAAAGAAAAATTACCATAGTAAATCTAGGTCAGCATCTTTCCTTCCTAATAAAGGGACTAAGAAAGATGTGACCTTCATTTGCCTTCTATGTGAGCCCCCACACCATCATCCTTGGACAAAGTTCTATCATTACTGCCTACACCATACAGTGTGTCCTTCCAGAAAGCTCTAGCCCACTTCCCATGGCCTCACCACCACTCCAGGTCGCTGGGCCTGGCACCCTGCTTATTTTGGCTACCTCAGTCTCACTGGTACTGAGCCTCACGGCATCAGCACTGCCCCACGCACCTGAAGAAGGGGTGGTTCCAGCACCTTGAATCTACCTGCCCCAGAAAGTCTTTGTGGTTCCCCTGTGCTTAGTAGTTGAGGCCATCTCTACCCAGCCAGGCCCCCGGGGCCGCCGCTGCGAGGCCGCCAACTTAGTGAGGAACACGCCAGAAGTCCTCTCCACAGTGCCTGCCCTCGCAGGGGCGGGGCAAAGCCAGGATTAAAGGGCCCTAGGTACTTCTAAAGGGACGGGAGGGCGTGCCAAGGATCCAAGCAAAGGCGAAGAGGGTCTGGTCCGTGGGAATGGGGGACGACGGGAAAATGGGCAAGAGAACCAGGTCACCTTCATGTCACGTAGCTCCATTCCCTCCCCACCCCTGCCAATCGCAGGTCTCAACTCTCATACCTACTTTCTGCCTGTCGTGTGCCCCACTCTCAGGGAAAGAGCATCCTCATCTCTGCTGAACCACCCAGTGCCTACAAGCCTGGTAGGCCCACTTGGCTTAGAACAGGGAAGGGGCGGAGCGAGCAGCGGTGACGCGGCCGTTGCCATGGGAACTTGCCGCCCGCTCCTGCTCGGGAGCCGAAGATCCAGTGGCCGCCTGTCGCCTGTCGCCCGTCGCCCGCTGCCCGCCTGCCGGCTGCCCCTCTTGCCCACTTCGGGCTCTCTTTGCGGCACGGTAGGAGAAACCAGGCTAGAGGAAGGCAGGGAGCAGATGCGGCCTCCGAGCTGGGACCGGTCTTGCACGTCCTAAGACGAGACCCCTTCGCCGCCGCCGCAATCGCCAGGGACGCGTACAAGCGCGGAGCAGCTCCCGGCCGGTCGGCCTCCTGCCCAGACACAGACGGCACGGTCCGCCCCAGCACCAGCACTGCGTGGTCTCAACTTCCCCGGTGACCTCAGTGCCTGCCGCATCCCAGCCATCTGTGGCCTGGGCCCCGACGCTCTTCGTGGCCACTGCCGCCGCCGCCGACACGTCTTCCGCCGCCTGCACCTCTGCCGCCACCCCTGCCCCGGTTCTGGCCGCGACCCCAGCCCAGGCCCCGACTTGAGCCCCATCCCCGCCCCCTGCCCTGCCAACCTCGCCCGCGGCCCGGCCCAGGCCCTGGAGGAGGCCCAGCTGTAGGTACGATGCTGCCCAGCTCCATCCAGATTTCAGGGGAGCCGCTGTCAGGCGCCGAGGTGCGGGACATCTGCCGTGGCCTGCGCGACAACGCCGTGCGCCTGCTCTCCCTTCGCGGCTGCCGCCTCTGCGACCGCGACTTTGGCCGCATCTGCCGGGCCCTGGCTGGGGCCACGTCCCTGGCGCAGCTCAACCTTAACCTGGGCGTCGTGTCCAGCCCCAGCCGCATCAAGCAGCTGGCGGAGGCGCTGCGGACCAACCGCTCCATCCAGTCCCTCTTGTGAGTGCGCTCCCTCGCAAGGGGGTCCCGGGCACTGCACCCTTTCTTGCACTCCCTGCCACCTCCTTTTCCTCCACACACCTTCCTGTACCTCTTTCCACCGGCCTCCCTCTCCCCCCACCCTTACACACCCCCCTCCTTCCTCTGCCCGTGACTCCACAGTACCCTCCCAGCACATCTCTTCTCTCCGGACTTGGCACACACAGCCCCACCCCAGAGAAGATGGGATACCCACATCTTCCTGGTGGGGCACGTGTACCTCCCACCTAATCACCCGCATTGACTTCTGGGGGCAGCTACTTAGTTCCCAAGAAGGAACACTGCTCTGGGGACCGGATCCCTTCCCTACGTCCTGCCCGTTGAGGAATCCTTCCCCACCCCACGCCCCTTCTATGTGCTCTGTCCTGGGTCCCAGTCCCTGCACCAGAAAAAGCGAATTCCCCTTCTACCTGTATTCTTTTAGAATCTAGAATTTTCTCTCCCTTTCCAAGGCCTTTCCTCAGTGCCCTCATTACCACTAGGGCTCACCCCTGTCCCCTACAGTGGGGCTGATGACTGTGGTAACCGCTGCTCTCTGGTCTCACCCACCAGCCTGCATGGGAGCCCCCTGACAGATGCCGGGCTGGCCTTGCTGAACCCAGCCCTAGCCCTCCACCCTGCCCTTGTGGCTCTGGACCTGGGGGACTGCATGCTGGGTGATGAAGCCATCAACCTCATCTGTGGCCTCCTCCCCCCAGATGGGGCCAAGTCTGGTGAGCAGGGCCCTCCTAAGGGCATGGGCTGGTGTAGCCTTGATGAAAAGCTAAATGGAGAGGGCAGGGTCTGTGGCCCAGAGCTGAGGGCTCTGACAGTGTGGGTGAGAATGTTTTTAAATCCCTCAGGAAGGAGAAGGATTAGGGGCAGAGCAGGATGGAGAATTTGGAATCCAGGTCTGGTGGGCAGGGAAGACAGGGTCTCTAAGGGCACTGGAGGTCTGTGGTAGGGGTGGGGTGCTCCCAGGCACTAGGGACACCCCGAGACCCAGAGGAGGGGAGGGGCTTAAAGAGGGCCTGGCCTTCTCCATCCTGGCTTCTCCTTACGATGTTGCCCAGGTCTGAAGGAGCTAACGCTGAGTGCCAACCCTGGCATCACCCCTAAGGGCTGGAGTCGCCTCGCCATTGCTGTGGCCCACAGCTCGCAGGTCCGCGTCCTCAATTTGGACTACAACCCGCTGGGTGAGGCTCAAGAAACCCCCCTTAGATTCTCACTACCCCATCCCCATCCAAGTACCTGGGACCATCAGCTGCTACAGTACCCCCACACCAGGAAAGGGAAGATAGAGGGAGATCTGGGAGGTAATAGAGGAATCACTTGTGTAGATGACCAGGTAGATGACCAACAGGTAGATCAAAGAATCCATCACCACCGTGGGCCAGGCTTGCTGTATGCATTCACTCACAAATCACAATGCTCCCCTCCTGGCCATCTACTAATTGTCAGCGTTTCCTGGCCTGGGGGTGGGATCTAAGGTCGACAGGACAATGAGGAGGCTGTCAGGGTAGAGGGATTAGCAGGCTTGTGCATGAACTCAGGTGTGCATGCTGTCTCCCCAGGTGACCATGTGGCCGGGATGCTGGCTGTGGCTGTGGCGTCCAGTCGAACCTTAGAGGTTCTAGATTTGGAGAGCACAGGGCTCACCAACCAGTCGGCTCAGGTGTGAGTTCTTCATGTTTGGGGGAGGCCATAGGTTGCAGTGGAAGTTAGGGTGTTTGTGGACATACCCAAGGGGTATGGCAGGTTGGAGTCGGGGAAGCCACGTTAACTGCTTGTCCTTTTCCATACTCTCTTCCACCCTAGACCCTGCTGGACATGGTAGAAAATTACCCCACAGCTTTGCGGAGCCTGGTGTTGGCTGAGAACAGCATTAGCCCAGAGCTGCAGCAACAGATCTGTGACCTCCTTTCTGAGGGAGAGGAGGAGGAGGAGGTGGCAGGAGGGCCTGGTGACACCCAGGAACGAGAGAGGGGGAGGGAGCCTGCTGCCCACCAGAGGGGAAGCGGCTCCTGGATGTGCCCTAGTGGTAAGAGCCCTGAGGGTTCATTGGAACCAGGTCTGAAGAGACTGGGGACCTGGGAGGATGGGTGTGGGAAACCTAGGCCACTTTTTTTCTATTTATGGTCCCCACTGGAGGAACAAATGGTATTCTAAACGCCCCTCTGCCCTTCCACAGATCCCAGCTCTCAGATGGTGCTAATGACATCAGGACTAGGGGACAGTCTGTTGGCTGAGACCGAGATGTGACTCTCCACTTGGGCTTCTGCACATCATTACATTTTTCTCTGTCCCCAGCACCTTGCCCCAGATGCCAGGGTTAGGCCCTGGGGCTTGGGAGGGAGGGGTTGCCTGGGGCTCTGGCAGCTCATGGCAGTGGGGTGGGAGGCTCTGGAAGCTGTGAACTGCCTTGAACCCAAGGCAATGGCTCTGGACTTGGCAGCTCTGGCTGCAGCCCGCTGGCTCGGAAGAGATTTTATCAACTTTACAACCTGGCGTGTGGCTATGGTCACTGGGGGGCTGGCAGTAGGGGAGGAACTGGAACTACCATTAGATACCACTAGGGGGCAATGCCACCCCACAGCCAAAGCATCCTTTGACACCACCCCCCACCAGCAAAAGGTCTCAAAATGGTCTGGCACAGGCCTGGGACTTCCACAACCCAGGGTTCTGAAGTGACCCCTTACACAAGGCCTATAAAGATATAACAAAGATTATATTTTTGCAGAGGTATAGAGCTTACCTCCAGAGCTGAGCTGGACTGGACCCTACCTCAGGGGAGACTTGAGGCCCAGTCAAGGTTATTTAAGGTGCAGCCCCTCCCGACTGCCCGATGCTCTGTGCCCAGGGAAGGCCCAGGCAGTTGGGGCAAGGCAGAATCACTAGCAAAGAGTAGGACATCACAGGAACTGGGAATACTCAAGAATGGAGAAATGAATGGTCATTAATAGACAAATTAGTCCATACCAGTAAAATAGTTTTATTTAATTTTAAAATAGTCATCAATGTGAAAATTTCCCAAAGCTGGGAGTAACAGTCTAGAGCCAAGGTTGGGAGGGGGGCCAGGCCTCACCCGGAGCCCAGCTGAGGCCCCGAGTCCCACCCCACACCTGCTTCCTGAGGAAGAGACAGCTGAAGAGAGCCCTGAGTCAGCCCTCTCCCTCCCCCTGGAGGACCCACTGTGCCAGGCCCCCTGAAGGCAACAGCTCTGCAGAGGGTTTGGAGAGGGAGGGAAATAGAGAGGGTAACTGAAAACAGAAATTAGAAGTTACTAATCCCCAAAACACTCCCCTCCCCTCCCCCCAAACCCCTCATGGCTATTGAAGGATGATGGAGGATACACACCGATGGAGGGTGTTCATCCATGGCTATCGAAGGACGATAGAGGATGATGTGATGAACTCTCTGCTCCCCAGAAGCCCAACTGGGGCTGGACTGATAGGTAAAAAAGTCTTGAGCCCAGCTGCATGTTACCTTTGGAGAATAAATATTTTAAGAAGGGAGAAAAACCATGAGGCAAGCTGGTGGCAGTCAGTCAATGCAGCTGAAAGGCCTGGTGTGACCCACTGCCTGACCCAACTGCACAGGGAACAGAGCTGCACAGGCCTAGAGAGAGGCAAGCTCAAGGGCCTGGGCTGGGAAGGGGACCTGGAGCTACAAGGGTACGGGCCTCCCTTAGTCCCGGTGCAGCACTGGCAGGAAGGCAGGCAGGGGTCCTAGTTGAGCAGGTTGCCCTGCTCCTGGGCCTGGGTCAGGCTGTCCTTGCGGTGCAAGTGGTGTACCCCCATCCTCTTGGGGCTGCGCTGGGGGCGGCTGGGGCCAGGGAGCGCCCAGCTCCTGCCCTCAGCGTGGGAAGTGCCCGACCCTTTCTCTGTGCTACTATCACTGGGCAGCAGGCTTTGCTGTTCTTCCTCGGGGCTGACAGGCAGGTTCAGCTCTTCCTCTTCTTCCTCCCTGGGCAGGCCAGAGTCAGGTTCTGTTGGCAGGAGAAGCCCGCTCTCACAGGATGGGGAAGAAGGTGCCTGAAACTCCTCATCTCTGTCCGTGGAGTTAAGAGCAAAATGGCGCTGCAGCTCAGGCAGTGCATCGTGTCCGAAGGCTGTGCGCTGGGCCGCAGTGGCCGGTGGTGGAACGCGGTCCACGAATGCTCGCTGCCAGCTGGCCAGCAGGTCCTCTTCAGAGCTGGCAGAGCTTACAGGAGCGCTGAGTGTCAGGGGTGCTGGGCTGGGCTGGTGATGCGGTGAGGCCTGGGCTGAGGCAGGGCTGCTGGGCACTGGGCTGGGTCGGGCTCGCTCACTCCCCTCCTCCACCAGGCTCAGGGAAATGGCCTGGCGGGTGGCATAAGTGCAGTTGGGCAGGGGGCTGTTGTGGGGGATTCGCACTTTATCCTCAGAGAACTCTATGACCTTCCGGCCAGGATACAGAGGGTGTGGTGGAGATGGGGTGGGGTAGGGGCTCAGCTTCTCACAGGCCGGCAGTGGCAGGTCATCCTCTGGGGAGCCCCCAGCAGCACTCAGAGAGTGGCACTCCCCATTGGGTTGGGGGGTGGGGCTGCCAGGGGCAGGGAGGCTGGCTGGGTCACCTGGGGCACCCCCACTCATGTCTACATGCACAAAAACATCCTCAGCCAAGGGGCGTCCAGCACTGCCCGACTGCACCGAATTGAGCAGTAGAGACTCTGGCTTCTCCAACACCCGGGCAATGACCGAGGTGGGTACCACAGCCCCTGATGCCAGGCTCGGGGCAGGACCTGGGCTGGCGGCCTCTTGATCACTGTGCAGGTGTTTCCGAACCATGTCCTGTAGCTCGCAGGGCAGCTGGGGTAAAGAGCAGAAAGGAAGAGACACGCATGACCCCAACCTCAGACAGGCTGACTGAGGGCAGAAGTCGTGGTAGCACGCACGAGTGTAGACCGCTATGTGCTCGGCACTTCGCTACACTGAGCCTGCAGCATGCCAGGGCAGGTCCCCGCTTCACGGAAACACTGAGGCTCAGGAGGGGCAAAATAACCTGAGGTTCCGATTAACACCGCCAAGATCTAAACCCAGAACTGGTACTAGGGCCCCCATGTGCTGAAACTTCCATGTCCCCTATCTTAGCAGTAGCTTCTGCCCAAACCGGACACAGGTTTAAGGATCTGTAATGACCGGAACCTTGAGAATGCCTCCACTACTCCTGTAGGCCCCATCACCCTTAAACCTGAGGATCCTGAGTCTAGAGTTTGCCCCTTGGGGTGGGGGGATCTCTCAATGTTCTCATGGCTGATAGCTCTGGCCACTCCCTCCCTCCTGCATGGGATCCTGGAGTCCCCCTCCCCCTGTATCTGTTCCAGAAATACCAACAAGGCCAGCCCCAGCCCTAGTGCTGGGCCCTTGATAGCATACAGGACACAAGCAGTGACAGAGGTGACTGGCTTGAGAGGAGACAGGGAGGCTATGGGGATGGAGATGCAGAAACCAGAGTCAGAAGAGTCCCAAAAAGACTGGACTGGCATTGCTGAGGCGGGCACTGTACTCACATCAGCAAACTTGTGGTTACGGAAGTGGGACTTGTTGCACTTGAGGAGCTGCACAGCCAGGTTGCAGTCCAACCGGTACCGTTCCTGCAGATACAGACAGGGCTCAGAGCCCAGCCCTGCCCAAGGGAGCAGGGCCGGGACAGGCCAGGACAGTGCCAGCCCCAGGCGAGGAAGGCCCTGGAGGTGCACGTACATTGAGCTCCTCCAGCTTGTTGATGGTGTTCTTGGCATCCAGCAGCTTGTTGGTCAGCTCTACAATCTCCCAGTCCAGCGTCTTCCTGTCCATCTCAGCCTTCTTGATCTGAGGCACAAGACTGTGGTGAACCAAGTCCACGCCCCAGCCAGCCCTTCCACCCCCTCCCAGCCCAGATACAGGAAGCCACAGGTGCTAGGGCAGCCAAGGCAGACAGAACAGAGACTGACGACGAACAGACAGAAGGAGATGGAACACCTCTCCTGTTCTCCGGGCTGACTGTGAGGTAGGCGCTTTCTAAGCATGACCTGCTGCCACTTGGGCCCAGCAGTAGAGGCAGTATATGAGCTGCCCATCCCTTGACGGAACCCTATGATGCACCAGGCAAGGCAGCTGGTACCTGAGAGAAGGTAACTGCAAACCCAGGCGGGCTTCAGCCTATGTAGGTAGCTGTTTTCAGGATCAGGCTAGGAAGAGGGAGGAGGGAGCAGCTGCTGCGGGGCCGCTAGGGGAGCCTGTGAGATTATCTAGTTGAGCTGGGAGAAAGCTGCAGGCTCAAAAGCAGCTTTCTGATCTTCAGCTCCTAGGCCGGATCTATAGCCCTCTTCCCCAGAATGGCTTGGGCTTGCAGCCACGGCAGCCGAGAAGCTGTGTGTGTTCAGTGGTGACATCAATCACTACCTCTGCCTGGGCCAAGAGCAGGCTCCCAGCTGTCCCCCAGGAAGGAGGCACTGACTACTGAATGGGCCTCACATAAGGAAGAGGAAAAGAGTGGGCAGAGAGAAATGACCAGGGCCCCAGCAGTCCCAGATCTCAGTGGAGGAGGAGGCCAGGACAAGGGAGGAAACACACAAACTCAGACGCAACTGCAAAAATCCAGCTGTGGCTAAGAGAGGCCTGAGAGGAGAATGCAGCAGCAACGGTGGCAGCATGAGGGGGAGACGAGAGAAGAGAAACAGTGTGAGCATTAAGACAGTACCAACTCGCACAGCACACAGTGGTCCCCTCCCCACCACTGCCAACAACCCCTCCCCAAGCCCCAGGGCAGAATGGCATTCCCTTGGCAAGTCCTAGCCCCCCCTGCTATGCTGTAAGCACAATGCCAGCCAAACTGCCCTCCCAGATTACCAGCGTGTGCAGCTTGTCCTCCAGCTCCTGGTTGGTCCTCTGGGAAGCTGTGTAGCTGTTCTGCAGTCTGCAGAGGAACACAAGGCAGACCCCTGGGTCTTGATCCTGTTCCTCAGACCCTGTTCAGCTCTTTTGTAAGGGATCTTGGGCAAATCATTCTCCTCCCCAAACTTGTTTTCTCATCAAAATCAGATGATCTCTGAGGCCCCTTCCAGCTAGCTCCCAATGAACGGGAGATGCACACATGCACGTCCTAGCCCCTCGTGCCCACACCTGCGGAACCTGTCCTTAAATTTGTCCAGCTCCTCTCGGCTCTGGCCCAGCTCCATCTCCAGGCAGTCCTGCCCAATTTCCAGCTCACGCTCCAGGGCCTCGGTGCGCCTGGTAGCCAAGGCCAGGCGCCTGCGAAGCTCCTCATTCTCCTGCTGCAAGAGCCTGGCAGGGTAAGGGGTCAAGAGCAGAGGGGCTTCAGAGATAGGAGGGCCATCCCTGGAGCCCCAGGCAGGTCAGAAAGGAAGGAATAGGAATGACAGAAGACAGGCAACTGGGGGCAGGGGACTCCTTGAGATTCAATCAGAGTCTGGGGCCACAAATTCCACAGGCCTACTGGACCTAAGAACACAGCCTGGCTGGGGGGGTCAGGGGAGCAGAGGGGACAGGAGGTGGTAGTCCAACCCCCACTTGTTGGAGAAGAATGAGAGGACAGAATTCCCAGTCTGTCTCTGGTTACAGCCGAGCCCGCAGCAGCTCCAGTTTCCCCACTACACAATCAGGCTGCTCCATTATTAATCTCTTGGACATCCAGCCCAGAACTGCCCTCCTCTCGAGGTCTTCCGTGGCTGACAGACAGGGTTTCAGAAAGGCAGCTGGCACAGGAGGGCCAGGAGCTGGGGAAGGGCTCACTGCCAAGAGCAGGCCCTCAGAGCCATCCCCTCAATTCCAGGTTCTCTTGGAGCCCGTGGAACAAACCTCTTTTTCTAAAAGGAATAACCACAGCAAGCCCCCTCCCAGAGTCCCTAAAATACCACCCCCGCCGCAACATTCAAGGAAAAAGCCCAACTATCTAATCCAAGGAAAAGCCCAACTATCCCAACAGCCTTGCCTGGAGCTAAGAGGGGCAGAGCTGAGGCAGGAGGCAGGGCAGGCTCTCAGGCAGCAGATACTTACTTCATCCTCTCTGCATCAGTCAGGGACTCCTGGGCACAAAAAAACGAAAGCCTGAGGCTCAGCTCTAGACCCAGCCTCCTGCTTGCCCACCCTCCAAGAAGCCCTAGAAAGGACCACTTCTGAAGCCCAAATCTCTCACTGCAGAACAGGGCTGAGTGAGTGTCCCCTAGAGATGGAGGCAATCCAGTAATGCCCAGACAGGCCTGGATCACTCTCTCTCATACCAACTAGAAGATTCAAGAACCCCTTCCAGCCCTCACCCTCACACACATCAGCTCCAATCCCTCTCTCAGGCCTAGAATCAGTTGTGAATCAGTCTTGGTACCCATGTGACCTCTCCCAGGGATAAAAAGAGCCTGTTCATGGGATGCTATGAGCCTCGCAGGCATGGCAGAGACCTTCCAGAGAAGAAATCGGGCTGAGATGTAGCAGGGTTCTGGGCTCTGACAACCAGGCGGAATCAGGACCTCACAGAGGCTTGGGAGGAACCCAGGCACGGGTAAAGGAGAGGTGCTGGGCCAGTCGGGACTGAGAGGAGTGAAGTGTCTCGTCTTGCTTTTGACCTCCTGCCCCATCCTCCTGAACCCCTTTGTTGGTCGTGGCCCAAGAGTCAGGGCTCAGCCAGACACAGAGTAGAGCAGGCGTGCACTGGCAAGAGGGAAATGTTAACGGGCCCACTTCGGATTGAACTGGCTGCTCCAAACACCAGTCAGGGTCCAAAAATGAGGTGGGCAGCCGAGACCACGGACTCTGGAGCCACTGACACCTAGATTTGACCCTTTTCTATCACACACTGGTTACATTAACTGCACTGAGCCCTAGGGTCCTCATCTCCAAAACCGGGGGAAGGCCCCTTGGGTGGCACCTAGCACAATACCTGGCCTTTTTATTTACTGTTCTGAGTTGAAGTGGGCAAATCCTGGCACCTGTGCCCTGAGTCTGACCACAATGGCTGTGGCATGCCTGGTGCTCAGCACGTCTCTCGGGTTCTGTGAGTGCGCCTTACATACTGCAACAGGGTGGGAACCCAGGAGCGAGACGGATAAACCACTGCGACATTTCTCTCCTCCTGTCAGTAAGCCTAGTGAGGGAGGGTAACCGATGCATTAACGAATGCCGCCCAAACAACACAAAGCTGGAGGAAGGCCGCGCTTCTGGGGACAGTGAGGAACAGCTGGTCTGGTGGAATAAGCTGGAGTACCACCTCCCAACAGCCCCCAGAGGGACTGTGGGCTGAACGGCTCGCTCAGCCAGGGGAGGACCAGAGTCCTGGCCTCCAGCAGGTTAGGGCCCCTCAGTCTGGCGGGTTGCTTCTCACAGGAAGAACCATACTGCATGTGTGGGGTCGTCTCTGCTAAGCTACCAAGACTCGGGGGGCTCCAGACAGGTGGACGTGCACCCACGGTGGCCCCTGTGAGCCTACGCAGCCCTGCCAGCAGCACCACACTCTCACCCAAATGCTGGGAGCCAGAAGCCCCTAGTGTGGGAGAAGTGGGCCGGATACCCAGCCTCAGGAGCCTGCCTCTGCCAGCCAGGGTCGAGGTACCAGCCTTGCTGACCTCCTGCTCCAGCTGGGATCCAGGAACTTCCAGGCGTAACTCCCGATGCTCGGGTGGTGCCTTACGGTAGGGTTTCTTAGCAGGGGCTGCACTGGTCATTCTGGGAGGTAAGGGCTCCGTGACCTGCTGAGGGAAAGCGAGGACAGAGGAGCCTCAGAAACAAAGGCAAGAGGCCTCTGGACGAAAGGAAAAGGATGGTAAAAGGGGACATATGTAGGAGCCACCAGGCAGGCAGACAGGCTTAGGCATGCTGGGGTCATGAGAAGGGTGGATTCCTGTGTGCTGGCACCTACGGAGTCGCAAGAGCCCTGCAGGGGTCCAACAGGAATAGACGGTGGGAAGGGCAGGATGCAGAGCCCGTGCACCAGGAAGCGTGCGCTGTGCAGAAAGGGCGGGGAGTCTGAGGCAGCGCCTCTCTACTTTGCGGGTGCAGAAGAAAGCCTCGAAGGGGAAGCTGCTCTGGTGCGTCAGCTTCCTTAACTCCAAATTGGGGTGAAAATAGCACCAATTTCATAGGGTATTGTGCGATCATATAAAGCAGTGAGAAAGTACCTAGCACTTAAGAAATGGCCAATGTAAAAAAAAAAAAGAAAGAAAAGAAATGGTCAATGTTACCTTCCAAAAATAACCAGAAAGTAAGGGTTTGAGGACATTTAACCAGCCTGGGCTCCTCAGTGCGATTCTCTGAGCTCGAGAGAACCCTAAAGACCAAGCCCCACTGGCCTCCACCACTCCTCTTTCACCAGGCCCCGGCCAAGAGGGGCCACCTGCCTGCCCCCTCTCCTGCCAGCCTCCCCAGGAGAGCCACATGGGGGGGTCTCAGGCCTCACCAGAACGTACCGTCTGTCAGTTGGCAGCTCGCTCTGTTCTGCCGTTCGGGACTTAGCCCTCGGCTCTCCACATCCCACGGCCCCTCCACTTCCTCCTCTAGCCAACAGCTTCTGAAACTGGAGAAGGGAAGAAAGCAGAAACCAGGTGTCAGCCGCCTGTCTGTCAGTGCCACAGGCCACCCTGCCCAGTGTGGGACCAGGAAGGCCCCCCAGGGAGAGCCAGGCAGGAAAGCACGGACAGAGGGCTGGAGAAGGGCTGGAGGCACCGGGCTCCTGCCGTCTCCGTGAGCACCCCCCGTGTGTACGTGTTCACGGTGTTGGCATACCCACAAGCCTGATCCAGAAATAGGTCAGGTCTGTCCTGTCCCCACCCTGCCCCACATCCGTTCTGCACACCTCCCAGGCCTCTTAGAGTCTAGAAACAACTAAGAGGTTTGGAGAACATGGGTGGCAGAAGAGAATACCAGGGACAGGCCTAGCAGAGATATAAGATTCTGCTGGAAAGAAAGCTCCAGAGGAGCCCACAGATGACCTCTTGTGCACGGCGGTGGCGAGCAGACTCTGAGATGAGAGGGCCGGGTGTGGCCGAGAAAACCTAGAAAGGCAGCCGTTTCGAGAGATGATGGTGCTCACACAGGGCGACGACGATCCCCCTCGCCCTCCTCAGACAGCTGGCAGGTGCCTGAAGACATTTCTGGTTGTCACAACAGGGGTGGGTGCTCCTGGCACCCAGTGGGTGGAGGCCAGGGCTGCTGCCAAGCAGCCTGTAACGCACAGGGGAGCCCCCACAACAGAGTCAGCGGCACACAATGTGATGGCGCCCCCACAACAGAATCAGCAGCACGCAGTATGATGGAGCCCCCACAACAGAGTCAGCGGCACGCACTGTGATGGAGCCCCCACAACAGAGTCAGCAGCACGCAGTGTGATGGCGCCAAGGCCGAGAAAGCCTGGGATAGAACACCCATGTCCGGGGAGCGGAGACACCTGGGTCCCAGGCCCAGTGATGCTTCTGACACACCACGTGTGGCCCTTGCTCTCTAGATAGGCTGTGTCATCTGCACAGGGTGGCTGCGCTGAGGGACCTGTGTCATCCCCTCCAGGTTCTTGGGGCTCCAAGCTCTGCCCCCACCTGCAGTAAGCTGGACAACAGCAGGGGGCAGCAGCCACCACAGGGACCAATGGAGACAGTAACCTCAGGTAGCCTTCTGGGCAGAAACAATCTTCCTGCTGCCATCCACCTCAACAGAGCTGGGGGCTGAGGGAAGCCTTACGGGCTAAAGCGTGTGTTCCTGCTGTTGGGACATGCCCTGGCCATGACTCCTGTCACATTCCAACAGGGCCTAAGGCAGGAAGAACGGTGCGGAGTAGAGAGGGCGGGGAGACAGGAGTGGCCTCCCTCCTCTGTCTGAACAGTCTAGTCTCTGGCTGGGGACTCTCAGGGACGGGGGTGTGACAGCAGGCACGAGCCGCCAACCTCCGCCCCTCTGACGGTGAGGCAAAACGTGTCCCCACAGGGCACGAGCAGCACGCTGTGCTGGGCTGACTCCCTGTGCAGGAATCCGGGCGGGCCTGAAGGGACAGTACATTCCTGGGGTGTGGGAGCAAACCAGCCACCCCACAGGTCCCCCAGGGCTACCCCTCCAGACGGCCCCAGGGTGAGCATTCCTATGGTCTGGGGACAGGCCCAGAAAGCCCCAACCAGCCTGGGTCCCTGAGCGCTGATATTCAGGGGTAGAAGAGGGGGTGTGTATGTAAGTTGGAAAAGGGGTAGAGCCCGAGACAAAGGACTATAAGCGTTACAGGCGGCCAGAGACTCTACACACCCAGGGGAGAACCCCATACTGGCTGCAGCCTGCTCCCCATATAGAGAATCCAGGCCCCCTTCTCCCTGCAGACCCCTCTGTGTACCCCCCTCTATTCTCAGCTGCTGCTTTTCTCCCCTGCCCTGTGCCTGCCGATGACCGCACTGTCCTCTAGGCGCCAGAATATGTTTGTTTACGGGCAGTGGGTGGACAGGGAGGACACTGACTGCTCAGGTATCTGGTAATTCTACCCTTAAGGACAGAGGCCTCACTGCATGCCCGCAGCCCTCGCTCTAATTGCCACACATCCTACAGGTCATCCTGCCTCCCCCTGACAAGTCCCCATCCCCCCAGGCCCACAGTCCCATAGCACATTCCCAGGGCATCCACAGCCTGGCTTGCTGGGGGGCAAACTGTGGATGTGGGTGGCAGCAAGAGAGGGAGGAAATGCAGACATGGACTCTCTGGGAGGAGGAATGGTGGAGAGATGAGAGGGGCAGTTCTCACACCCAGCCAAAGCTTTCCCTTTCATGCACATCAGTCACAGGGAGGGGGGAGCCACTCCCAGCCGGGGAAGCAGAGGCAATGCCACTAGGGAGACAGTCCACAGCGAGCCTACCATGTCCCCAACACAAGTCCACAGGAGTCTGTGCCACTCCCTGCCCTATGTCCACAAACACCAGTGCATGTTGGGCCCTAGCTCCAACTCCTGGGATCTGCTAAGTACCCCAGATCAGCCTATAGGCGTGACTGTCCCAGAGCTGAATAGGAAAATGAGCCTGGAAAGCTGCCATCCTTGACCAGAAGCGCTACCGGGAAGGGCAGACCTGGGCGTGAGAACAATGCTAGGCAGAGAACAAAACAGGCAGCAGATGGACCCCAGGCCTCCGAGCTGGGAAAAGATGAAAGGTCAGCTAAAAGGCAGCAGAGCAGACCCTCCCAGCTATGAGGTTCAGCCTCCACTGGCCACACGTCCTCCACCCAGAGGTTCCCAGGTGGCCTTGTGGTGTTTCAGCCCAAGGAGGAGTTCAGCCCTGCGTGGAGAAAAGAACTCCAGGGAAAGCAGCTGGATGTTCACAATGGGCCTTGGGCCCTGAGGAGCAAGCAAGCCACCTCTGGGGCATCTCAGCCTCTTGGTGCCCTCCTTCAGGGCATGTTCAAGAAATTGGTCTTCTGGAAGGTCAAGAAATTGAGAGGGGAAGGATCCCACTCCTCACCTACCCAAGCTTCAAGGAACTGGGGGCAGACGACTGGGGATGTGGGACTACCAGATCACGTGCTGGGTCTGCACTGTAAGTACAGCTGTGCTCTGGGAAAGGGGCTGAGGCCTAGGGTAAGACCTCTGGCTGACCCAGTCTGGTCTGAGGCTCCTTGGCCTGGACCTGCAGGCACTATGGAGGGAGACACCCAGAGCAGTAAACCCTCCCCATCTCAGGGAGGTGAGGTGAGAAGGAAACGCAGCTCTCCTCACCCCTCACTGCCCCCCACCAACTCCTGCCCCCCACCCCCCGCCTTCTCTTGCCTCCTCTGCATAGTACTCATTCTTCACTCACTCCAAATCAGTTTGGAGAAGAGACTCAACCCCCATATCTGTTGGGGTGGGGAGTGGGGTGATTAGCTTCCTAATTGCCATGTTGCAATCTGCCAGTCGGTGCACGCTGCCTGTTGCCACCTGCCCTGTATCAAATACCTTCTCCCTGATTACAGCCCATGGGGCATGATTAACTGCCTCCAGAGAACAAAGTCTGCTTTCATTAGAAATGGGACTCGCACGCATAGTGAACCTGCACTGTGAACCTGAACAGCTGAGCAGAGAATGTAGACAGAGACAGATATAAGGAGAAATCTGTGCCAGAAATTGGCGGAGCAGTATCCTTGAATCAGAGAACAAATTTGCCAAGCATACCTGCTCCTTTCTGTGGATATGAAGTACGCGTATGCGACCAGGAATTCCACTGTGGTCAGGAATCACTGTTGCCAGAGATGGAGCCACGTAAGGAGAAAACTTTTCAGAATCCCAATTCTCTTCAAACCACTGCCTTACTTGTACTCCCAGCAAACCCACAGGAGGCAACAGCAAAAACATTCAAGCTCTTAGCCAAGGACACCCTCTCAGTTCCTTCTGCCACCTTTTCTGTGGGTTTGCCCAAGGCGCAGGGCAAATTTAAAGGTGCAGGAGAGGAAGGTCCAAGCATCCCTCTGAGGGTTCAGAGGCCACCTTCTCAACACTGGCCCAGCAGAGGAAGACTGGAGTAAATCCAAAACGGGTGTGGTTCTTTGGCTTTTCAAACTTCTGCCTTCCCCCATCGGGTGTCTCCTCTAGCTTCCAAGCTCTGCTCTACGACTTCATTCCACTGCCCTGCCCTAGAAAGTCTGAATGCCACACTGCTCACCACACCACCCCTGCTCTCTTTAGGAAATTACGGCACCATTTCCCATCCTAATGATACGCCTTTCTGCTCATAGCTGGCACTGAATCAGGCAAGTGGGGCACTTGAGGGGTCAATGAACTCAATTTTCTCAATCATGAAGGGCCAATAAAGTACCACCAAAATCATTAAAGTGTGTCTTCATAATGCACTCAAGAAAACTCAGAATCAGCAATCACTACTGCTTTTAAAGTGACAGGAAAACCAGCCCATCTTCAGAATACCCCAGCTGTGCTACATGCTGCCTTAATTCTCTCAGAACCCAGCAAGATATAAATAAACAATAAAAATAAATACAGGCCCTTCCTGAAGCCCCTAAGCAACCACTGAAACATGAATGTCTGATCATACTGGGACCAAAGTCTCCTCTGTGGGAATTGTCCTCAGCGGAAAGTTACTGTCCTCGGCGGTATGTAGTCTCTGAACTCTGCAAGCATGGAGGAAGCTGCACCTCAAGCCCTTGAAATCCAGGCTCTACCTCCAACCAAGGCGCAAAAGTACAAACTACCACCCTGCAAGGCCCAGGCCTGTAACCAGGTGAGTCAGCAAGGACCCCTCTCCACCTGGACTGTCAGTGAACAGCAGAACAGTCCTCCAGCACAGTGAGCAGACCCTACCAGAGCTGTTGGGGCTCAGCTTTCCCACACGACCCCCGGGTGTCCCTCCTGCTTGCCGTCAGCCCCCGGTTTCCGGCATGCAGCTGTTCCTGAGATACATGAGCAAAGCCCTCAGCAATCCTGGGCGCGTGGCAGGCAAGCAGCCAGCAGCTCACAGGGTGGGGCCTGGGCAGGCTCTGCTCTGAGCTCATGACTAGGCTGGAAGATGCCGGTCTGTGCCCAGACCAGCCCTGCTGCCCCTCCAACAGCCAAGCCTGCCACCCTTCTGGGCAAGTACAACCTCACCCGATTGGGACAGGCTGCCTGTGGCCCTGACCTGGCCTTTTGCCTGCTCTAAGCAGAACGGATTGACAGGTTTTCAAACTCCAATAGGGGTGGGGACTTTTCTGCCACAGAGTAATCCTGAGGACTCAGAACTAGCATGGCGACCTGGAGTGCTCCCCTGGCTCCCCACCTGAGCAAACACCTCAAGTCTATCACCTGACTTCAACCGAACAAACACCAGAAGGGAATAAAGGGGCTAAAGACTACTGATGATGGTCCAAGCAAACCAAACCTCCCTTCATAAAGGGAGGGCCAGCCCCCCCAAGATCATAACCAGCACTTGACAGTAGCCCCCATACCCGCTCCTAAGCTGGAAAATCAAAGTGAGAGGTGGCCCTGAACTCCGGCTCCCCTCCAGTCTCCTTCGGTTTTCCTGGTCGGAGCCAAGCCACAACCCCCTTCAGCTTGTTCACTCCCTATTCTAGGTCCCTAGACGTCTGATTAGCATCCACCAGCTCTCATACGTACACATTCCCACACCGTGCTAGCAGACAGCCCCCGTGCCTTGTTCCCTCCTAGCCCAATGGTACAGAACCACTGTGAGCACCCGCAGGTCTCAAGTTTCCCTACCCAGACTACCCCATACTGCACAGCTTCCAGATACTGGAGACACAGACAGTCTGTCTAGAGTTACCTGTGCAGAACACCAGGGAGCTCCAAGCAATTGGCCTTCCTGTTATTTCCAGAACCCCTTTGTCCTCTCCAACCCTAGAGGGAGACAGGGGTTCGGTGGGAGCTTCTCCATGGCACAGCGTTTGCCAGTCTCCCAGCCTGAGGCCAGAGCCTCTCCTAGGCTCACTGTGGAATCCAAAGCAGGTCCCGTTTCCTTGGGCTAAGGTGCCCCTCCCAGCTCTTCTCGGCTAAAGTCCACCGAAGCTCCAGCCATGGAAGACAGTGGGGGACCAAACTCCACCCACTCGGCTTACCAGAGTAATAGTCACCAATGGGAGCCATATCTCAGATGGGTACCTGGCTCTGGGCTCGATTTCAGTTTAAGAAGCTTCACACTTCTGTCCAAGGAAATTCTCACAACTAGGTTGAGGTTTTCCTCAACCTCCCTAACCCCAAGGAGAACCTTGCAGCTAATTCTAAATTATTAACCTGCAGTGAAAATAATGGGGACACCATTCAATCTTCCCTTCTTGAAAAACAGAAGAAACTATTCAGTCTCAAGAAAATTCCCATCTGTCTCTGAGGCATCAAACAGCATGCTAACCGAGGGATACTTTCTAACTCCATGGTGATAAAGGCATATTAAACAGAAACTACCCAATTCTGCTTTAAGAAAGAATGGGAAGGGCCCTGGCTGGTGTGGTTCAGTGGACTGAGTACTGGCCTGTGAACCAAAGGGTCACTGGTTCAATTCCTGGTCAGGGCACATGCCTGGGTTGTGGGACAGGTCCCAAGTACAGGGCACATGAGAGGAAACCACACATTGACATTTCTCTCCCTTTTTCTCCCTCCCTTCCCCTCTAAAAATAAATAAATAAAAATCTAAAAAAAAAAAAAAAAGTAAGAAAGAATGGGAAAGCGTGGTACTGACTGAGGGGAGGCCGAGTCCAGCAGCAGGCTGGCAGATGCACAGGTCGCCCTCCTCTCCTGGCCATGAAGGGGGTACATCCGCACCCAGAGCGAGGAGACTGGGAAGATGGAGGAAACCCAGTTATAAGGACCAGAGAGCAGAGGAGATGGCATGAGGTAGGCTAGGGGGAGGAGGCAGCCAGGTTATGGGGAGGGAGCGAGGACAGGGGCACTGCTGGTGGTATTCCTAGGGCAGGTTAGCTTGCCCAGGTCAGACTCACAGGGTTAGTGTCTTCTCCCCAAGCAGCCAGCAATCCTGGTTAGCATGGTTAGTGACAGACTCATGGCGGACACCCTCCAGGCACTCCATATAAACAGACAGCTGGCTTTGTGAGCAGCCCAACTCCCAACTCCGGAGCTGCAAAGACAGAACAGAAGGAACGCCAAGCTGCAGATGACCAGGGCACACACTGTGCTCTCCTGACAGGGCAAGCTCCTCCAGACTTAGCGTTAGACCCTCAGGGGCTTCCTCCCGCCAGGAAACCATGCCAGGCACAGAGGGGTAGCACTCCCCTGCCGCCCGATGAGTCCAGCTCCCTGACGCCACATAACAAGGCTCTTTGGCTGGTCAGCTGTTGCAAAAAGATCACTGCTTGTAGGGAGATGGGGGGCTGCTCCTATCTCGCCTATTCCCCCAACACTGACACAAGGCTACACCAGAGCCCTGAAAGCTCTGTTAGAGCTTTTTTCTTAAGAACAAAGCCACCCACAGCTGCAGCTGCTACCCACCCCATGCCTGTGCTGGCAGAGTCCACCCCACCACCTCCCACAGGCTCTGAGGAAAGGGACCGGGAGAGAACTTGCCCAGGGATCAGATACTGCAACAAGAGCTGCATGGAAAGCACAGTACAATGGGGCTGTATGTGAGGCGGCCCAGCTCTGGGCCAGTCAAGGGAAGGGCGGCACACTGCCACCTTTCAGTTTTGGAAAGGGCCAGGGGGACAGCTCTTTCCAGGGAGCTGGTCCCAGAGGATCCTACAGAGTTAGGATAAAGGCTGTGCTATAGCCAGGCTCCCCACACTCCAACAGGGACTAGTCCACTCTCTCAGAATGAGCAATGGCCTGAAAGGCAAGCATTCTCCTCACAGCAAGCCCAGAACCACCCAAAGGGAAGTCACAGGCCCTGGCCTATAGATCTCCCGGCAAATGAAGCAATGACAGTAGAGCCCCAGAAGCCCCACAAGAAATGACCCCTGAGGCAGCAAAATAGGAAAGCTTCAGCAAATGTATCGATGAATATTGTTTGTGCTTAAAAGAGAAAGACTTGTTGTCAAGGGAAAACAAACAGGGAGGGATTCCCCCTTCTGTCTGGGTAGCACTGCAGATGCTGAGATGACTTGGGGTGGAAAGGAGAGAATAGTGACCAACCTGGCCCCACAGGTAGCCCTGGCTCCTCTCCGAGGTTAATGATTAACACAGGCATGAGAAGCCTCCAGTAGGCTTCCAACTGCTCACTCACTGGGTTCTCCCTATTTCCGTGACAACTGCCCCAGAGCTCCAAAGGCCAAGGCCCAACCACAGAGGGTGAGAGAACCATCAAGAAGACAAAGAACGCTTGCAGTGGGCTCTGACCTGTTCCCTGGACTGATAGGAAAACATGGCCATGGACAGGTGACCTCAGAATCTTCACCCACACAAACTACTACTAAGAATAAGGATGATCAGCACCAGCTGGGGTGGCCTGGTTTGCTTTCAAAAGGTAGAGTAGCAAGTGAACTGGCTAATCCAAGGTTTCAGAAACCAGGGACACCCCCTGCAATGAAACAGAGGTTCAAAAATCAGGCAATTTTACTCTCTTCCCAGCCAAAAATGACAGTGGACTGAGGGGAGAAACAAACATAGGATAAAGTGTTGATGCCCACACCATGCTTATATCCATTCTGAATCCTACTCAAGTGCACTCCTGTGCAGAGTTTCAGCTCAGAATGAAAAACGGTCCCTCAGAGATAACCAGAGGGCCGCTGTGCCCAGAACCTGCAGCGAAGCCTCTCCGTCCCTCCCAAAGAGCTAGCTAGCACCAAAGGGAACCCCGGAGCTGGGAGGAAGGCTACGGCCAGGCTCCTCAAAGGTTCCAACAGGGACTACTCAACCCTAAGTGACTTGTTAGGGGAAGAGAACAAATTGAAGAACAGTATATACTATTAATGAGTTTTGTTTATTTTATAAGTAATACTTTATTAGGACTGTCTAGAAGGATACAAAATGATTAGAAGGATATGTGATAAATGGTTAACAGTTGTTAGAACTAGTTCCCTATCTTTGGGGAACGGGCTTACAAAGGGGCAATGGGGAGGTTTTTTTTTTACTTTTTATTTTGTATGTTTTTCTGTATGGTTGGTAATTTATACAAAGACACACATTTATGACAAAAACATACACCTCCCGGACAAACAGACAAAAGCCCTCTGTCCTCACTGCACTTTTCCATTCTGGAATAGCTCTCCCTTCCACTTTATGCCCTTTGATCCTTGCAGCCTTATGAGCTCACAGACAGGTGGAGCTCCCCCATTCCAAAGTGACAGAGAGACTAAGAGACTTGCCTAAGACCACAGACTAAGACAGAGCCCTGTTTCCAACTCCAGTGCAAAGCATGGAAAACAGTCATCTCTAGGGAGCCACAGAAAAGTCATGGCAGTTCTGTCCTTTATGGATTCCAAATGTCACTGAGAGCAGGCAGCCGACACTTTTGAGATAGTAACTAACAAAGAGGAGGCCCCACTCGTCTACTCATGGCCCGTCCAGGAGACTCAGTCCTTTTGAAGCCTAAAAATACACAGCACAATCCAGTCCAGGAGGCTCGCCCAGCTGACTCTCAAATCTGCTTAACAGCCCTGGCTGGCGTAGCTCAGTGGATTGAGCACGGGCCTGTGAAGCAAAGGGTCACCAGTTCGATTCCCAGTCAGGACACATGCCTGGATTGCAGGCCAGGTCCCCAGTGGGGGACACACAAGAGGCAACCACACATTGATGTTTCTCTCCCTTTCTTTCTCCTTCCCTTCCCCTCTCTCTAAAAATAAATAAATATTTTTTAAAAACTCTGCTTAACATACAACGTAGCTTATCACTCCCACCGAGGTGCGCTCAGTGAAGATGTGCCACATCATACCAGAGCTTTTCCTTTCGGCCTTCTGATTGTCCAGGCATCACGAGGATGGAGCAAGACCTGGATGTGAGCTTGGAGCGCACCAAGATAGGACTAGTGATACAACCAGAAAAACAAGAAGGATATAGGGCCACTAAAAGAAGCTTAATGAAGAACAAAAAGGATGCCAGCAGCCAGACTTATAGATGCTAATTCAGCAAGAAAATATACTGGTGGCCCTGGCTGGTACAGTTCAGTTGGATGGAACGTCACCCCGTAAACTGAAAGGTCACGAGTTTGATTTCAGGTCAGCGCACAGGCTGCAGGTTCAGTCCCGCCAGGGCACATAGGAGAGACAAGGGATCAATGCCTCTCTCTCCCTCCCTTCCCCTCTCTCTAAAATCAATAAGCATGTCCTCAGGTGAGGATTAAAAAAGAAAATATACTGGTGTGTTTCGCCTCCTCTTTTAACCTGTCATGCTGGCTGAGGGATGAATGTTGAAATAAAAAGGCTGAAAAGGGAGACGACTGAAGCCAAGCACCTGGAAGACCATGTAACCACATTAACTCAACCCTGGAAACCAGTCAGTAATGCTATCGTTAATACTATCATCTTTTGTTTATGCAAGACTTCTCTTCATAAGCAGTTCAAAAGGTTGTTCGAGATAAGTCCTATCTGCTTCAGTCTCTCTGAGGAAGGACTGGTGGGGTCACACGGGAACCGGATGTTCGGCAACTACTGCCGCACTTTGCCCTGTACAGTGCTCTCTGGTGTGTACTGCGCACAAACATTTTTGGCCCAAACTTTCAGGAAAATCATCTTTCGTTTAATCAATCCAATTATTAATTTATTTCTATTTAGATACTTGGTTTTTTGTATTATAAAGGAATTTTAGCTTTTACTTTTTTAACATATTATGGTACAAGAAACGTTATGTAACAAATAATAAAACACAGGAACAGACACAAGGTATTTCAGGTACTACCCATGTATAATGCGCATTCTTATTTTTCCCTAAAAAATTTGGGCAAAAAAGTGCACACTATGTGCATCACACTATGGTATGTAGGGCCTAAATGCCTTCAGTAAAAGACCTCGGCCCTAAGAAGCTGCAGAGAGAGAAGACCTTGCCCCTAGTGGGGGAGGGGCAGGTTAAGAACCACCTGTGTGCTTGAACAATAATTAAAATTTTAAATAAAGAAGAAAAAAAAAGAATCACTTGCATTGGAGTGTGGTGAGTGCTTTGAGGGCGCAGAGGAGAGATGCCTGGCTGGGGCAGGGGCTCAAGGACCAGACAAGAAGCCTGCCCTCCTGAGAAGTTCTTTTTTTTTTTAAATTACAAAATCATAAGCATGTAATTCTGTAACATAACAATATCACTCAAGCACATCATATGACATGTTAGGTGAAATGTTCAAGTTAAAACTATAACTTATCACACCCATATTATCGCCCTACAAACCCCACTCAAGCAGGCGTTACTTCTGCCGGACACTATATATGTCTTATTATATCATAGTATCACAGTACAGTAAGTTCCAAGCAATCTGATGATGAGTTTTGAAGAAAGGCTGATGAACTAAAGAACTTATTTTCTTCTAAAAGACTGAAGACCACAGGAATATTTTATTTCAATTCCTTAGGATAAGGTTTCTTAGAAGTTAAAAAAAAAGCACTTATCTTCTGAAATAAGCATAGTACTTGAGTACTATGTCTGTTATGTAGTATTTGCAGTACTTATTATTTCATCAACATTTTAATTAATTTGTAATGAAGTTTGAGATTTACTATTCACACAAGATAAAACAAGGGCAAAAGTTTGATCTGAAGAGCATATTACAAGCACCTCCACACAGCGATCCCTCTGGGTCAGTGCCCATGAAGAAGCTTCTGAGGGCGGCCTGCCCTACCTGCCTGGGACCCGAAATATGAGGAGCAAGGAGGCCCCCTCAGAGCAGGCTTGTTTCTCAGCCTTCTCAAGACTAACAACAAACTAGCGACAAACTACTACCTTCTATCCCCTCTTCCAACTTCTTCCTCACTTGCTCTTTCTTCGCCCTTATTTATCACTCTTCACTGCTTTTTCCTTTTCTCTTATCACCTTTCCACCTGTGTTCTTTTCCTTCTCTTCCTCTGTCCTTCGCAATTCTCCTTTTCCTTTTTCAGTTTTTTCCTTCTTAGTCTCTTTGCTTCTTCCTACCCAAACTTCCTTTTTGCCAGTTTATTTTCATATCTTCCTCATTTGAGTTTAAACTCACCCTGGAGGACCACCTGG